CTCTACGTGAGTCTATGGGTCTCTACGTGAGTCTATGGGTCTCTACGTGAGTCTGTGGGTCTCTATGTGAGTCTGTGGGTCTCTACGTGAGTCTGTGGGTCTCTACGTGAGTCTGTGGGTCTCTACGTGAGTCGCCGGGGTGGTTCCCTGTGAGTCCATGCTTCTCTACGTCAATCCAGGAATCCAGGGCCTAGTTTCTCACTGCCATTGTTGCGCCCCTCCCCCCTCCCCCCCAGTACACACAGGCGCTGGAGCGGTTCGTGCAGTCGTGCGCCGGCTACTGCGTGGCCACGTACGTCCTGGGCATCGGGGACCGGCACAACGACAACATCATGATCCGCGAGAACGGTGCGCGCTCCACGCCTCTTGCGCTCCGCTCAGGAATTCCTTCCCACCGTCATCGACCGTCATCTTTAACAGCGCGATGAGCTCTCCGTATGTTCCTGGTCGGTTGGAGTTTTGGGACCTTCGGGCCTGTGCTAAACAACCCTGGTTTAAAAATCAAATAAAACACACTCACACACACGCGCGCGCGCGGTGAAAACCCTGTCGATCCCTCGCCCACCCGAATCGACCGTGCGCGTGCAGGAAACCTGTTCCACATCGACTTTGGCCACATCCTGGGCAACACCAAGAGCTTCCTGGGCATCAGCCGCGAGCGCGTGCCCTTCGTGCTCACGCCGGACATGCTCTACGTCATGGGCGTCACCGGCAAGCGCAGCAGCGCCTACTTCTGCAGGTTCCAGGTGCGCTCCGCACAGCAGGCCGGTGCAGGGGATGAAATGCCCCCCGTCCCATCTCCCCCCCCCCCCTTGTCCAATTTCTGTCCTCTTCGGCACCTGCACCACCACCCAGTTGCACTGCCTCCACACTCGATAGCCGTGCCACTGGGTTCTGTTCTTACGAGTGTCCACGTACGTTCTATGGGTCCTATGTTAGTCAAGGTTCTGTGTTAGTCTACGAGTCCTCAACTCGTCTACATTTCCTATGTTAGTCTATGGCTCTCTATGCAAGGTCATAGGGTATCTATTAAAGTACAGAATATGGGTTCCTGTGTAAATCTATAGGCGCTACGTTGGCCATTGGATCAATGGGCCGCTGTGTAAGTCTGGATCTGGGTGATGTCCAGTTCTTGGAATCACCCCTGGTGCAAGGAGGAATTCAATGTCCCAAACCCATCCCATATTTGTTATTTTTCATGTTTTGTGGGACTGGCGCAGGACACGTGCGCCAGCGCCTACCTGGCTCTGCGCCGCCACACCAACCTGCTGCTCACGCTGCTCTCCATGATGGCGCTGACCGGCATGCCGGAGCTGAGCTGCCGGCAGGACGCCCACTACGTGCGGGAGGCGCTGACGGCCGGCAGGCCGGGCCACGAGGCCCAGCGGCATTTCCTTGATCAGGTGCTGTGCCATCCGTGCCGTCCACGCCGCCGTCGCGGAACGCTGCGACGGACGACAAACGTGGAGATTCTCTCTTGCCCGCTGCTGCGTTCTCACTCAAAGCCCCCGCTGAACTCTTACCGAGTCAGAAGTTTGGAAGTTCATTTCCCGAGTGAGACCCTCTGAACTACGGATCTGTCTTTCATTGGGCACTCGGCGAGCAGACGACAAAGTGTCTTAAACATACTGAGATAATCGTTCGCTAGTACCTCAATTAATTATCACCCAACTCCCGCTGAACGCCACTTGAATTATCTCCTAATGTTTACTGAATAGTCATTTCACACTTCCTGCACCGTAAACATATTCACGAAACCCTGAGTGAATCCTCATTGAACGCTCACCGAATTATCACTTAACATTTTCTGAACATATCATCATCAGCCCTGATCTAGCCACTGCTGGATGAAGGCCTCCCAAAGCTCTTGCCATTTCTCACAATGGTGCGATGCAACAATCCATCGAGCTCCATCTCCGCAGCGGATATCCTCTGGGATGTATTCCATTCCTTGGCTGCCACTCCCTCGTTACTCTTGACCATTACTCTCAACATTCACCAAAAACTGAACGAGAAAGATTAATATTTTATTTTTTATCGGAACCTCGTGTCGCTTGTGATGTCGCCGTCAGAACCTCACAATTGACGCCACCAATCTCCTCTCACAGGTGGAGCTGTGCCGTGAGAAGGGTTGGACGGTGCAGCTCGCCTGGTTCTGCCACCTGGTGCTCGGTGTCAAGCAGGGCGCTAGCAGCTCCTGAGGGCACTGGTCACGGGAAATTCCTGGCAGCAACTCAAACACCAAAGTTCCTGATGGCCCAGAACACCAGAAGTTCCCGAGGGCCTTGGACACTGACAGCTACTGCGGGCCTTGGCACCTGCAGTTTCTGAGGGCCCACGAATAACAGAAGTTCTTGAGGGGCCCCAGGGTTCAGACGCTTGAGGGTCCAGGGCAACCGCAAATCCTGCAAAAATAATTACGTTGAACTTTTTTCGCGCCGTACGTAGCCAACTGTGCTAATCGGAGGTGTGGGGGAAGGACAACAAATTAAACACAAAAGCAGTTCTAAAAAGATCGACACATACGAACACACTGCCACTGTGATTTAAAAAAACCCACGTTTATCCACTTTTAAATACAAGCCCTTATTCCTGTTCTACCACACAAGAGTTTGTACGTCTCACGTCCCCTAGTTACATAAATCAAACATTCAGATGTTTTGCCATGCGCCTGTATGGTTTTTCACGCTTCAAGTGAGCGTGATCGGTTGGCGATGCTTTGCAATGGGAGTGATGCGGTATCCACGGGTCTCTACGGGCCAATGTTGGTAAATCTCCGATAGAAACTTGACATGCTGTATCATTAAGTCTTCTGAAACGTATTCTGTGTAATCCGTGTCGGTAGGGTGCTTTAGTTTTGCTCTCTGAGCTTTGGGCACTTTCACAACATTATGAAGATGTTGGGGCCCAGACCGAAAAACCAAAGTACTGTATGCCATCGAGAGAGGCAATGCTTATAGCTTGATGCCTTAATCCAACATATTGGGGAAGGAGATATGGGGGGGCAGCTGCCTCCCCTACTCCCTCTACTCCAACGCACATGCTGTTATCATTCATTAAATACAAATTAAAACATTTTACACACCCAAAGTTCTGGTTTTTAATGTTGGAGTTAGGCCATTGTCGTAGAGGGAGTGGTTCTGCAAGGGCTGGGAAGATTAATTTTGGCCTATGGCCTAGTCACATGGAATGCACCAGATCTTGTCGGATCTCAGACGCCCAGCAGAAGTTGAGCCTGGATAGTCCTTGGATGGGTGATCAGGTTGTTGCCATATGCGGTTGTAGGTCAAGGCTACGTGGAGGGCAGTGAAACCATAGGTCATTGTTGAACTATACTTTACCTTCACGAACCCGCACTGACCAGCGTGGTGAAGTATGGTCAAAACAATCCCCGCAAACCGCACTGCTTGGGGGGGGGGGGCTCATCTAGGAGTGGATTGGCAAAAGAGTTACACGTGTACATACGTAAAGCATTACCATCAGTCATTATCCATCCACTGCTGGGTGAAGGCCTCCCAAAAAACCATCACCACCCCTCATGATCCTGCAATGCGATCATTATTGTAGCACCTGTACATAAGCGGATTTCATCGCTCCATCTCCTGAGTGTACGCCACTCGATGTACATTGTTCACCTGAAATAAAAAAAAATTTAAGGGAAATGTGATTTTGTTGTGAAACAGATGCAAAATAAATATTCAGAGAATATGCCTCCTCCATATACATCTGTCCCTCCACGTAAATATCAACGTTTGTTTTTTTACACATCCCATCAGCCACACCACCTTCTTGGGAGTGCATAATGGTCAGCAGCAGTGGTTCAACACGAGCAAAACTATGGGCTGGTTCCGACATGCAGTCTCATCAGACTGCGGCGGGATTGCTTGAATCAGTGCTGGTGAACTGCCCAGATGTTTGTAGGCGAGCTAGGCCATGTCTTGCATATTACATCGCCGTTCAAGTAGTTATCGTGCGGTGGCGAGATGTTAACTACCTCCCGTGATATGCAGGAGGTCGTGGCTTCGATCACGACCCTGACGCCTGTCGGATTAAACTAAGTGCGGGGCCTGTAGCATATGCTATAAAGGGCCCCTCATTTTTTTTAAACCTAAATATTAAATCAAATGTTTAACTTGTGTAGTAACGTAATTGTATGTTTTCACTTGCTATACAGCCAAATAATACGACAAATGGCTAACCTTAAACACCCAGTCGTTCATAAAAGTTGAAGGCGGTATAGTACTATAGTAATTGAGCAAGTGCAGAATCACTGAACCGAAATTAATAGCTTGAAAGCATTTAGCGCGGGGCCCTTCAAAGTGCGGGGCCCGTAGCTACACTGCTACTACTTATGTAGCTACTACTTATGTAGCTACTACTACTTTTTCTACTAGGATAATCCGGCACTGCTGCTGTATATTTGGAGTTTTCGTGTCTCTCTCCCCGTGGTCGCGTGGATTTTTTTCTCCGGGTCCTCCGGTTTCTCCCCTCCACATTTAGAATCAACATCACCCACGCGTTTTGAGTATTTGGCTGCTATAAATTTCCACGCGATAATCCCCACACTTCGCTGAGCTATCAACGTGTGGCGAGGTCGCCGGCGGGCCTTACCCAGTCACATGAAGAGAATTAAACCCAAAAGCGCTCTGGGAGAGGTGAAATGTGAGCGGCGTGGCCGCTAGGAGGCAGTCGCCCACAGCTGCCCGAGCCGAAAGGGGATCACGCAGCCCGGAGCGACCCGGAACTCCCAGGGCTCCGTGAGTGGTTCCGTTGTTTTGAGTCCCCTGCCTGGGACCCCCCATTCTTAGCTTCGAACCCCCGATTTTGGGGTGGACGTGGGCAGGGTCTCAACCAAGTAAATAAAAGTCGGCAAGGCTGGTGTCTGTACGCAGGAGCGGAGAGGCAGGAGACAGGGGGTCTGGCCTGGCCCGGCCCGTGTAATGAGAAGGCATGCGGGGTCTGGGGGATTAGGGGGCCTGGGGTCTAAAGGATGAAGGGAACTCGGGGTCTGAGGGATTAGGGGGAGAAGGGGATGAGCCGCTGACAGTCTCCTGCCAGCAGCGGAGGCGGCGACTGGGACCCCAGATACCGGGCTGTGCCGAAATAAATACACTGAAAACAGTGCGGGCCTGCGTGTGGGGCCCTCAGGGGGTCTCTGTATCCCCTCAGGGGGTCTCTATCCCGAGTGAAGTCTTCGGGACCCCTGGGACCCTCTTCCTGTCCCGTACCCCCCGTGTGCCGACCTGGGCGCCTCCCTGCGCTGCCCGATGCCCCCGTGGCTCCGGGTCCCCCCACGACGCCGGCACAGCCCCGGGAGCCCCGCCCGGGGACTCCGGTAAGGGGAGCAGCGGGCGGTGGAGGGGAACGCAGCCGGGGGACCCCGCGGCGGGGGTCCTTGACCCCGCGGCGGGGGTCCGGGACCCCGCGGTGCGGGACCCCGCGGTTCCAAAGTCCCCGGGCAGTAAATTGCAGCCGTGACCGTTGAGACCACCGGGTACAGGGGGCAGCCTCACCTCGTTAGCACGGAGAGCGCCGCGGTGTGACGGTGAGGAGGGGTGTGAGGAGGTGAGGTGTGTGTAGGTGAGTGGTGTTGTTCACATTTGTGTAGGTGAGGTGTGTGTGGTGGTGAGGTGTGTGTGGTGGTGAGGTGTGTGTGGTGGTGAGGTGTGTGTGTAGGTGAGGAGTGTGTGGTGGTGAGGGGCGTGTGGTGGTGAGGGGCGTGTGGTGGTGAGGTGCGTGTTGTGGTGAGGTGTGTGGTGGTGAGGTGTGGAGTTCACATTTGTGTAGGTGAGGAGTGTGTGGTGGTGAGGAGTGTGTGGTGGTAAGGTGTGTGTGGTGGTGAGGTGTGTGTGGTAGTGAGGTATGTGTGGTGGTGAGGTGTGTGTGGTGGTGAGGGGTGTGTGGTGGTGAGGTGTGTGTGGTGGTGAGGTGTGTGTGGTGGTGAGGTGTGTGTGGTAGTGAGGTATGTGTGGTGGTGAGGTGTGTGTGGTGGTGAGGGGTGTGTGGTGGTGAGGTGTGTGTGGTGGTGAGGTGTGTGTGGTGGTGAGGTGTGTGTGGTAGTGAGGTGTGTGTGGAAGTGAGGGGTGTGTGGAGGTGAGGTGTGTGTGGTGGTGAGGTGTGTGTGGTGGTGAGGTGTGTGTGGTGGTGAGGTGTGTGTGGTGGTGAGGAGTGTGTGGCGGTGAGGAGTGTGTGGTGGTGAAGTGTGTGGTGGTGAGGTGTGTGTGTGGTGAGGTGTGTGTGGTGGTGAGGAGTGTGTGGTGGTGAGGTGTGTGTGGTGGTGGGGTGTGTGTGGTGGTGAGGTGTGTGTGTGGTGGTGAGGTGTGTGTGTAGGTGAGGGGTGTGTGTAGGTGAGGAGTGTGTAGGTGAGGTGTGTGTGTAGGTGAGGTGTGTGTGATGGTGAGGGGTGTGTGGTGGTGAGGGGTGTGTGGTGGTGAGGTGTGTGTGGTGGTGAGGAGTGTGTGGTGGTGAGGTGTGTGTGGTGGTGAGGTGTGTGTGTAGGTGAGGGGTGTGTGTAGGTGAGGGGTGTGTGTGTAGGTGAGGTGTGTGTGGTGGTGAGGTGTGTGTGGTGGTGAGGAGTGTGTGGTGGTGATGTGTGTGTGGTGGTGAGGTGTGTGGTGGTGAGGTGTGTGTGGTGGTGAGGAGTGTGGTGGTGAGGTGTGTGTGGTGGTGAGGAGTGTGTGGTGGTGAGGTGTGTGTGGTGGTGAGGTGTGTGTGGTGGTGAGGTGTGTGGTGGTGAGGTGTGTGTGGTGGTGAGGAGTGTGTGGTGGTGAGGTGTGTGTGGTGGTGAGGTGTGTGTGTGGTGGTGAGGTGTGTGTGTAGGTGAGGGGTGTGTGTAGGTGAGGAGTGTGTAGGTGAGGTGTGTGTGTAGGTGAGGGGTGTGTGATGGTGAGGGGTGTGTGGTGGTGAGGGGTGTGTGGTGGTGAGGTGTGTGTGGTGGTGAGGAGTGTGTGGTGGTGAGGTGTGTGTGGTGGTGAGGTGTGTGTGCAGGTGAGGGGTGTGTGTAGGTGAGGGGTGTGTGTGTAGGTGAGGTGTGTGTGGTGGTGAGGTGTGTGTGGTGGTGAGGAGTGTGTGGTGGTGATGTGTGTGTGGTGGTGAGGTGTGTGTGGTGGTGAGGTGTGTGGTGGTGAGGGGTGTGTGGTGGTGAGGTGTGTGTGTAGGTGAGGTGTGTGTGGTGGTGAGGTGTGTGTGGTAGTGAGGAGTGTGTGGTGGTGAGGTGTGTGGTGGTGAGGGGTGTGTGGTGGTGAGGTGTGTGTGTAGGTGAGGTGTGTGTGTAGGTGTGTGTGGTGGTGAGGTGTGTGTGGTCGTGAGGAGTGTGTGTGGTGGTGAGGGGTGTGTGTAGGTGAGGTGTGTGTGGTGGTGAGGTGTGTGTGTGGTGGTAAGGGGTGGTGTTGGCGAGGGTTGCGGAAGGGTGAGGCGCATGAAGGTGAGGAGTGTGATGTTTAGAAGTGTGGGGTTTGAAGGTGAGCGGTGTGGAGGGGAGGCGTAATGGGGGTGTGTGAGGAGTGAGGTCCCGGGGGTTGGAATACAGAGCCCTGGAGAGTTTAGGTTCTTGTTGACCACCTAAGGGCCAATTTGGAGCGAGGCCCTCAATGGCCATCGTCCATCAGCATTGAGGCACTGAGGAGCACCGTTCAGATGTTACTGCCGTTACTCGTTGGTGCCCCGGCTGCCGTGGCTGTCCGCAGGACTCATTGTTGGTGCCGGAACCTGGTATCTCTGTCCTGGGCTGTGCCACGGTGTTGCTCTCCCTCCCGTGGATCTACGACCTCAGATGTTTTTACTCTATTCTTCGTATGGCTGATATTGAGGTAGAGCAACAGCTTTAATTTTAGATGGAGGTGGTTGAGACGGATGATTTGACTCCGGAGTTAGCGGAGTTTGTGCATCGCTGTGATGATGCCTCCCTCTTTGTATTTGTGAATCGGGCTTTGAGTCGGCACTCGTTCCGTGGTCCGTCCTGGGTGACCGCAGTCGCTCAACGCAGACGATGGAAGGCTCCGCAGGTTCTGTCGCGGCTGCCGGAGCAACGCGGTTGCCGCCTGTCGTTCCAGAAGCTCGCGCTGCTGCCGGGCGCAGAAGATGGCCGAAGCGCCCGAGACGGAAGGGCTCGGGGAACGGCCGGGCAGCTCGGGGGCCACGAACGGTCCCGGGGGCTCGAGGGCGAGGCCCCACGGCCCGAGGCCTCCTCCTGACGACGGCGACGTCGTCGTCACTCCCTCCAAGCGCAACCCCGACGGCCGCTTCGTCAACCCGTGGTCCACGTGGAAAACGCCAGACAAGAAACACGCTCTCAAGTGGATGCTGACGGAGAAGGACTTCAGCAAGGTGCCGGCGGCCGAGGTACGGGCCAGCGTTGCCAACTCGTCAAAGTGTCAAGTCGTCCATCGGGCCTCAAAGTCACGACTACTTGTACCTTTGACACAATAGATAAGCAGACGTCTCCCTCACAATTCTGTCTCGACATAAAACCGTATGGACCTTTAAGGTTGTCAAAATGTCGCCAGACAATTTACCAACAATTAAAACAAGAGTAAACAGATGCAGGATCCTTCATAGATCATAAGGGCCTCGTACAAGTTCCATCTCATTGTGCTGTCAGTGTCCACACACTAAGAATCCTTTTGGAGCTCACGCAGAGCAATGAAATGCCACCCCGCCTCCCCCATATTATCATAGAGCCACTTCTGAGATGTGTTCAAGTGACACGGAAGTGGGCAGCACTTTCCCACTTGCCCTATTAGAAGGTGATGTTCGTCGCGTGAGTAAAACCGATATTTAGTAATTTTTTGAATAAAGGCAAATTTTAAGTGCAGAACCAAATGTAATGCCGTGGTGATTCTGTACTTTATTCGTGACGAGGCTGGGAGCATCAGCTCGCCACACTTGAGAAGCCTCGTTTAAACACAGGCGGCCAAAACCACGATTCAAACCCGGATCTCGGTCGACGGCGCCAGCTCGGCGCCCGTGACACTCCGAGCCGTCGGGCGGCCATCTCTCCCCGGGACGCTCCCTTGCAACCATTCCCTCCTTGGCTCTGCTTCCCAGGAGCTGCAGCGCACGCTGCCGGTACACAAGCCGTACTTCGTGGAGGGAGCCGGTGGCAGCGGCGGCTCTCCTCCTGAGAGCGTGCGGGTCACGTGGCTGGGCCACGCGTGCGTGCTGGTGGAGCTGGAAGGTTTCTCCTTCCTCACGGACCCCGTGTTCAGCGAGCGCGCCTCGCCCGTCGGATTTGCGGGGCCGCGCCGCTACCGCCCGGTGCCGTGCACCGTCGCCCAGCTGCCCGAGGGCCTGGACGCCGTGCTCATCAGCCACAACCACTACGACCACCTCGACCACAACTCCGTCGTGCAACTCAACCGGCGCTACGGCACTCGCCTCTCCTGGTACCGGCACCATCGGGAGAGGGTATTGTGACTCCTATGGCACCCTGGGGTTAGAATCCTACTATATAGAAATGTTTTACTGTTAAACCTTAGTCAATCGGAACCTACTCCACGCACAAATTCCTTGTGGGGGGGATAAAAGCTCTTCACCGCCCCAACCGTATGCAGCTGTGGGGGCGATAGCCCCTTTCACCCCCTCTTGTGACGGTGCCTATGTTTAATGGACTAATGGCTGTAATGGTTCCACCAACCTTCCGTCTCTTCCAGAGCCACAATCACTCAAGGCCTCACCTCCATCGGTGTCCAGGTTGCGCTAACGAGGGTGGAAGCTGTCCCCTCCACGAGCGATGGGCATTGTGTGTGGGCAGCAGGGACCCCCCCGTACGCGTGACCGTTCCGCCCTCCGCCCATGCAGGTTCGTGCCGCTGGGCCTGGCCGGATGGATGCAGAACACCGGCTGCGAGAACGTCCAAGAGCTGGACTGGTGGAGCGAGCGGAGCGCCGGCTTGCGGAGCAACATCACGGTGGCCTTCACGCCGGCGCAGCACTGGTGCAAGCGGGGCGCGTTCGACGACAACAAAGTGCTGTGGGGCAGCTGGTGCGTGAGCTCCGGTCGTCTCGGGCACCCGCAGCTTCACTTGGGCGAGCGCCAGCTCCGAGTGCGAGAATGCGGGCGAGGCGAGCTCACGTTGGCGCCGTGCGTGGCACCCCGCCCAACCCCCCCCCCCCCACCCCCGCCCAGGTGCGTGCTGGGCACTGACGCACGGTTCTACTTCGCCGGCGACACGGGCTACTGCGACGTGTTCCAGCAGATCGGCCGGCGCTACGGCCCCTTCACGCTGGCGGCCATCCCAATCGGAGCCTACGCGCCCAGGTACGTGCGGCAATAGAGGCTGCCGTGTGTGCGGTGTTGTTTATGCAGAGCGTGTGTCGGGGTGCAGTGGATCACACGTACCCTGTGCCATGTGTAAACACCAGCACCGGGAACACATGGGCAATCCGCGGTGGCAGTGCTGGTCACACCAACCACTCGTGTGCTGAGCTGCCATTAGTAGGTGCTTGCCCACAGCACTCGTCACAACAGTTTGTATAGCTACACAGGGAAGCTTCGTCCCATTTGTCCATGTCAATCCATCGGCTCATAATGCGTAACTCCCACTGGCTTACGACAGGGCATTGTTTCCTATAAGTAATTTTGGTGCATGTAGTTCATGCTGTGTGTGTGTGCAATCTGGTACAAACGCCGAGGTGAAATCGCCGCCACTTAGTAACGAATGTCAGTTGTCGGTGTTATGTGCGTGACGCAGCTGGTTCATGTCCAGCCAACACGTGGACCCAGAGGCGGCGGTGAAGATCCACGTGGACGTGAGAGCTGGTTACTCCGTGGGCATTCACTGGGGAACCTTCAGCCTGGCCAATGAGGTGCGTTTTTGATTGATGCTTACAGGGTGTTATTAGAAGGCGGTACAGAAAATGTGGCCCCCACCTATTCCATCTATATGGGATGGAGTGTTGCCCCCTCACATGCATGGGTTTTCTCTGTGTGCTATGGTTTCCTCTCACGTGTACAGACACTCGTTAATTGACTGACAACATCTTAATATAGAGGACTGCAGAGCTTTGGGGGGAATTTGATACCGGCTCGCTGCTGGGCTACTGCCTTCCCGCTTGTCTGTGGTTCTTCTTGCCTCCGTGTCATTCTCTCTCACTTGGAGAGCGCCTATATACTGTGAACTCAGCTATCTGGGTTAAATTCCCATCTCAGTCACTGGCGTGCGACATCTGAGCCGGTCCCGCACACCCACGTTCACCAGCCCACACTTGACACGGCGTGGGGAGGCCTTCATCCAGGAGTGGATGGCTCAAAGGCTGCAAACATTATTTTTGATGGATAATTAACACAGCACTGTGACCTTCCACTGCTCAATTAAGGCCTTCCCGTGCCATAAAAGCTCTATACATGATTGTAATTTGTAGACATCAGCTCGGGTGCCTTGTGGTGAGAACACTTGATCATCTGAACAAGAAAAAATGTTTGGGAAAAAATATAAAATATCACGTGCCACTAGATCTGCTGGAACCGCACATGCAGTCCGAGTGAGACTGAGCTGGCATTGTGGGTAGACCAGGGCGTGCGATGCGATGCATGCTCTTGTGACTCCTCCTCTGCGCGGGAGTGCGGTCGCAGTTTTACCTGGAGCCGCCGCAGAAGCTGGCGGAGGCCCTGAGCGCGGGAGGCCACAAGCCGGACGTGTTCTTCGTACTCCAGCACGGCGAGACGCGGGACGTGGGGCCCGGGGGGTGGCGGCCGTTCCCTCGCTAGGCCTTCCGCGTCACGGGCAGCACGGACCAACCCGCCTCTCTCCTGGCAGCCTCTCTCGTGCTCTAAGTTTGACCTGCCCTGACGATTCCCAAGAGTAGGTAGATTTGGAGTCTTAGCGTGCCAAGGGGCGACTTTGGCCGAGGAAGATGCACTTTACTCAGAGATGGTGGTGGAATGACGGATGATAATTTATCACATGATTGTGTTTCTATACCTGTGGTTACCCCCTCCCCCCTCAGCCTGACTCCATGCTCTGTGCTGACGAGCAAGGCTGGGCGGGGCTGGGCGTTATTTAACGGATTACTTGCAAGGCAGCGACACTCCACCAGCTGCTGCTTCGAACTCCCTCGCCTGCCAGTGCCGCACGGAGAGGACAGTGCAGCGGGCGTCTAAGGAAGATGTGAGCCGGTCACGTAATGTGTCCCGTGACCCGATTGTCTGTGCCCGAGAGCAGGGCAGTACTGCGCAGGCTTGGCCAGACTCGGCGAACAAATAGCAAGCAACGGCCGGGCCCCAGGTTGACCTTATCCAAGATGCTTTTGTAATCTATCAACTGCATTTTACACTTTTCATTTTATAAACGTAAAGAAAATAAACCAAAGTGTGCCTCGACGTACGGCTTGTTTGTTCACGGGGGTTCCTCTCAAAAAGGGGAGAGCTGTCAAAATGGTACTGCGGCATTCTGGGCTAAAAGCGCATTCTAACGTTTACATTCGAGATGGTTATATTTTAATAGCTTGTTTATTTTGAGTCACGATCTCACACAGGCATCACGAGCCGGCCGTGCGAGCGGTGGCCCCGTGCGTCGAAGGCGCCCCCCCGCACCTCGGAACCACCCGACCTCTCATCCTGTGCCGCTCACTCCGTCCCAGATTTCTGCTTCCCCCGACCCTCTGGGGGCCTTGGTACAGCGGCGTCTTAGACGTCCCGCCCTCCTCCACGTTCCCCTCGAGCCGCGGGTTCAGGGCCGTAACGGCAGTCACGAATGTCCAAACGATGCCCCCAGGCTGCGGCCACCACTCGGGGGCACGGGTGGAGACCGGCGGAGCAGGCGGGCCAGGGGTCAGCCGCGCAAGATGCGGCGGCGGCGACGGCGCACACGCCTCAGCTGCTGCTGGCGCCCCAGGCTTGCCAGGTACCCCTGCCTCCGAGCCCTGTGGGGGGCGCAGACCTGTAACTCGGCAAAAGGGCATTGCGTTCTCGAGGGTCGTTAAAAACCGACGAACAAAAAAGAACGAACCCGCGTTAATTGGAGCCGTACTCTCAGAGCAGCGCGGGTGATCCGGCGAGTGACTAGTTCATTGAGTGAGGGTCTCGTTCGATTTAGCGGTTGTGGGTAAGAGTGGAGGCGTGCAAGGTGTGGGAGCGCATATTGGCGTATAGGCCTTCGAAGGTCTGAGTTTTGATGATTTGATGAATGTGTGTCGCCCGTGTGTGCGTGATCCGGGGTAAGTGCAGCGGTTAGCGGGCAACTAGCGATTACCGGTAGTGCGCTGCACTAGGAACCCTGGCGATCAGAGTTCGATTCCCGCTCATGGCCTATACAAGGGAAGATTAAGACAAGTGGCCTGGTGTGCTGGCCACCTACGCTCTCTCATGTGTCTTGCCGGCCTTCGTTGGTGCTGCTCGCTCATAGCACTTGCCCGACAGTCTGTTAAGGCTATATGGGGAATATTTGTCTTTTTATCAGGCGTAAGTTATTGGGTGAATGCATGCTAGTGACGTGAGTGGTGGGTGGAGTAGAGGAGAGGGTTGTGGGTGGGTGAACGTCTTACTGCACGACCTCCACCTGGTCCAGCGTCCACTGGTCCCGCGTGGGGCCCCCGTGCCGCGGCTGCCACCACCGCAGCATCACCCCCCTTGCCCGCGCCTTCCTGTACGGCCGAGACAATGGAACGCGAGTGAGGATGGCACCACTTCACCCCCAAATACCCCCTGGGCTCAGTTCAACAGCAACCACCCTCTACCGACCAGCGGTGATTCCTCAGGGAGGACCCGAGGCTCCGTAGCCCGGCACTGCCACCCCCATCTCTCTGCTGCTTTCGAAGGAACCTCACGAGCGCCCGGTGGTGGTGCCCCGGCTCGTGGGTGCAGCCGCCGGCGCCGAGCCGCGGTTGCGCGCCTACCCTGGTACGTCGTACGCCAGGCGTCGCGGTAGCAGGAGGTCGCGCGCGGAGTGCGACGCCAGCAGCTGCCAGCTGGCACCGTTGTCGGCGCTGTACTGCAGCAGCACGGCGCGATCCTCCGCGTCGCCAGGGCCGTCGGCCGCGTTGCAGCGCTCGGACTGCGCCGGGCTCCCGATCCGCAGCACAAACAGCACCTTGCTGCACACGCACACACGTGCAGCAACAACACCATACGCAGAAACACGCACACGCGCGTTACTCACTTGGGATTACACACGGCGATCGTCGGCCCCTGCTGGCGGACCAATGACCGATTGCAAGCCGGGTGCCCACAGAAACAGCTGCAACTGGGGGTGCCCCCTTTCAAAATGTGTTGATGAGATGTGGTGTTAGTCGCTCATTGCGTGCAAAGTGATCTGAGATACGCGTGCGCAAAGGAGGGCAACTCTATTAAAAAAGATTATCATCATTAAACAAGTACACACAGACCCGTACAGATACAGGGACACGTATAAAAAGCCAAAGATCCCCCGTATAGCTTTAACAAACTGTTGGGGCAAGTGCGGTTAGCGAGCACCTATGAAGACCGGCACGGCACGGCACATGAGGGGGTGGGTGGCCAGCACCACGCCCATCCGCAATGTTTACAGACCGCACCAGGTACTCGTTTGAAGCCGAGTGAGCCTAAGGAGGCCCAGGACCAGTTCAGAAAATAGCCACCTGTGTTGGCCTTCAGTGGGAATCGAACTTGGGTGGTCGGGCTGGTAGCACAGCGCACTAACCGCTGCACGACCGCTCCCCACACGTACGCACGCACAGCGCACTAACCGCTGCACGACCGCTCTCCACACGTAGGTACGCACGCACAGCGCACACACGCGAACAGGGTCGTCGGGTCACACCTGGCCAGCGTGAGGTCGAGGGGCCGGGTCACGGCCTCGCGGACGCCACAGCCGCTGAAGTACAGAGCCTTCCCGTGCGCCAGCGGGTTGAGTGGCCCGCAGCCCTCGGGAAGGCCGCCCCCGGCCAAGCGGCCGCCCCCGGTGCGGGCCCAGCCGCGGCCTAAAGACTCCTCCGACTCGAAGCCCTCGCGCATCGCTGTCGCGAGGGGCGACTCCACCGTGCCGCAGTCGTCCCCTGTGGGTGACGCACGGACGGACGCTCGTGTACAGACCGCGGTGACGAAGATCCCCCTTGTAGCCTTTGACAGACTGTTGGGGCAAGTGTTGTTAGCGATGAGCACCTGCGAAGGCCGGGACGGCACACGACGGGGTGGGTTTCAATAACCACGCAAGGCCGCCTTTGTCTCCTCGGGGACTGATGATTGCCGCACCAGTTACTAAGTTTAAGGCTGAGCTGAGTTAGGGGAGGTCCAGGACCAGGACCGGTTGAGATATTCGTCAAGGGATGTTGGCTGTGAGCGGGAATCAAACTTTGCTCGGTGTTCTTAACGCAGTACGCACAGACCAAACGTTTGCACACGGAATACGCACACTTGAGTTGGTACAAACGTCAGTGGGCTTGAGAAGGGATGCTGACCAGCGATGGAGACTGGCCACGGACTTGCACGCCAAAGGACGCAACGAAGCCCGGGCGGACGTCCATTACGGAGAAGAAGCGATGGAGTCATCGCGTGTGTAGCGAGCTGGGTGGATCGTTACATCGCGAGACCATGAGAGATGGCAACAGCTTGGGGAGTCCTTCATTCGGCAGTGGATAGGTCACTGGCTGGGCCCTCGGGCTCCACTGTGGAAACAGCGACCACTAAAGGCGCCGGTCAAGGATTTAGATCGGGGATGGATCCCAATAACCCCATTGTAAGTGGCCCGGGTTGGATGGGGGGAGCGGGGTGGGGGTGGTCACGGACCTGTGGAGCCGTCGTCACAGACGCAGACGGCGCCGTGCGTGCACCTCCCGCGTCCGCTGCACAGGCGGGGGCACGGCTCCCCCACGAAGACGTCGTCGAGCCCCCAGGCGGGGGGCAGCACGGCACGGTCGGCGCCGGCGCCGGCGCCGCCCCACGCGGCTCCCTTGCCTCCCGCGCGCCGCGCCAAGATCCAGCGCAGCTGCGTCGCGCTACGCGGACGCGGCACGCGGTGATGACGATGATTACAATCGTTACTGCCGACACAATCGTTGATTACCGATGCGTCGATGGACGACATCGGTGCCATCAACATCAATGCCATCGTCAATCAACATCGTAATCCCTACAATATATCATCATCGGCGCCTTGACGCAATACAAATCTACGTGTATGAGTCTATGGGTCTCTAGGTCAATCCATCTCTATGCAAGCCTGTGGGTCTTTATTAACGGTCTCTTTATGAGTCTATGGGTCTCTATAAACATATGGACCTGTGTAAATCTGCGAGTCTATATAAATATACCAAGTATATATAAATATACCAAGTATATTTATATAGACTCACAGAGACCCACAGACTCGGAGACCCATTTTTTTTGTCACCCATTATGCTCCTATCACGCACAAGCCCTCACCGAGTCTCACGACTCTTAGTCAGGGGGGTCCTGCCGCGTTTTCTCAGAAGGGGGGGGGGGGCGACCGTCGCTCCCTATATAATCCCTCTCGAGTTATTTACAACGCAACCCGCGTCGCGTCGTTTCCGCTCCGGCCGCGAGCTCACGTGGACGCGGCGCCGTCGGGCAGGCCGAGGGTGACGCGGGTCCAGCGCGGCGCCGTCGCCGCCGAGTACACGGAGGCCTCGTGCAGCCGGAAGGGGGAGCAGCCGGCGCGGGAGGCCCCCGACGGGAGACACTCGCCCTGCACCAGCGCCCACTGGTCCCGGCTGCGTGCCGGGGGGGGGGGACACGGTGGCGACATGAGCCGCAACGGTGCCACTGTGGCCATGCAACCCAAACTGTCGGCCGCACAGCAAACCCACTGTGGTCTGCGTTCCTTCAACCGAGGAGGAGGAGGAGGAGCGACGCGACACGAACTCTCTCTGTGCTGAAGCCCTCTCGTCGTCGCGAGCAACAGACCCTCCACATTGGCATCTCACTCCTGAACATGTTGAGGCCATCATGCACAAGAATAGAATCGCGCGGAATGGTGGCCGTTGTTGTGGCTGTTGTTGGAGTGCCGGCGAGCGTACTCACCCTGCGTCCGTGCTGTACTCCAACCGCACGGAGAAGTCGTCGGAGCAAGCGTCATCGCCGCCACAGCCGATCGCAATCTGCTCGCTCGCACAGGCGCCGCGTGGACATCACTCGTGGGGGCAGCAGGGGCAGCAGCAGAATACAGGGGCAGTAGGGGAGGTGACATTGGAAAAAGCCACAAAGCAACATCGCCCCCTACTGGCGGGATAATCGTCACTTACCCGGCCAGTGCTGCGTTCACCTTGTGCCACACAGGGACAGCTGCCACCGGCGGTCCCCTTTGGCTAAACTGTCGTGGGGAGCCCCGAGATGTACTGCAAGGGCGGTGCGGTGTCGGTGATAAGTGGTGATGACGATGACGACGAAGTTTGATGAAGTTCATCACCTGGAACTGCACCATGCTGCCCGGCGCGATGATGAGCTGCCGTGTGGTGAGGGAGGCCGGCGTGGGCAGCGGCTGCCCCCCCGGCCACACCAGCGCCCCCCCGGGGCGGGAGCAGAACCCGACGGCGGGGGCGGCGTGGGGGTGAAAGGTCCACAGGTCCTCGCGCAGCGCGGCCTCGCCCGAGCCTGCAACGTCAGCAGCGCCAAGCCGCTCGTCGGCGATGCCGCGTCGCGGAACCAAGAATACCCGCCCAGCGGCCTCGCCGGGTAACCCTCACCTGTCTGGAAGTCGTCCACCAGGATGCTGGGGTTCACCTCCTCGCCGCCCACCAGCACGTCGTCCAGCGCCCACGTTGCCCGCGCGACGGCGGCGGTGCAGTTCAGCAGCCCCGTGCGGCCCAGCGGGCACGGCTGCCACCAGCGCAGGCGCGTGGAGTTGGAGAGCGCCACGGGCGAGAGCGCCACGTGGTCGCAGCGCGCCGTCGCGTAGCGCTGGGCCTCCATCTCAAACAGCAGGTGCCACCGCACACCTGGGGGAGGGAGGGGAAGGGGGGGTGGTACGGTGTCGCAGTGCCGCACGTTTCTCAGCCAGCAGGTGCCGTAGCCGAGGGGGTAGGGAGACACGAAGCCGCCTCAGCACGGGTTTGAATCCCTGGCTCAGGTAACGGAGCACCGTTCATTCACCTGCTGACCTCCCCACGGCGACAGCGTCTCTCAACTGAGCGACCGCTTTGGCCGGAGCAGCGTGGCGACGCTTTACGTTGTTAACCCTTACACCGTGAAGAAGTTCGCACAACGCGAGCGGCGGTGTCGCCGGCGCCTCTCACCGCCGTCCGTTGAGAACTGCAGCAGCACCGAGTCGGAATGGCCCCGGGCCGCGGGGCCTGCGCCAACGTCGATCCGCGCGCAGAAGCGGACGAACCTGGGCACCGCACGGGACGGCACACACACACACACCGTACGCCCACAGCAGGTCAACAACGCATGAACCAAAACAGAGTGCTCAAGCTACCACATTTCTGGCAGGCGCAACCAGCCCCTCCTACTTTTACATAGCCACGCCCATGCACCTGCAAGCGCTGCCCACAGCGAGTTGATTTGCTCTTTGTGATGTTAACGCCGCCTACTTCTCATAGGCCTCGACCACTACTCGGGTAGCTCCACCCACAGGAGCCCTGCTCGCTGCCCTATCACATTTTAACCCTTGGACAAGGTCCTGGATTTTACAACACTTAAATTGGGGACATCGGGACTGTTCCCGGCCAAGCCAGGACATTCGGTAACTTTACAAAGTGTAGGACACCACACAATGCAGCATGGCACACGCAGTCACGAGATGCAACCATGCAGAGCGAGCGACGTGTTCTCACGGGACTTCGCGTTTGCCAGCTGTTCAGGCTGGGTTCAACTCCCAAGGAGTCCAGAGTGCTCGCCGTGACCCCCTGACCCCGTGGCGACTCACGTGGCCCCGCGCAGGTCCAGCTCGGCCGTCGCGGCCTGCCGCGCTCCAACGCCGCGGAAGTGCAGGGCGACGCCGTCGGAGACGACCTCGCAGGAGGAGCAGGGCCCCCCGCCCTCCACCAGCTCCCACGAGTCCGGATCAGGGGTCCCAGCGGCCCCCCCAAAGCGCTCCTTCAGCAACGACTGAGACGAGCGGTCACGCACAACGCTCGCGTGTGAATAATCCAGACGCGCGATGCAAGCGAGTGCAGGTGCAGGTGCAGGCAAGTGAGCGCGCGCATCCCACCGGCCCAAGCCGCGTGCCATGGCAGGCCTCGCCGGAGGCCCCGGGGTCGCACACGCACGACCCCCGCACGCAATCCCCACGCCCCCCGCAGTGGCCCGGGCACGCAGGCCCCACCCAGAAGTCGTCCAGGGCCCACGGGGCCCCCAGCTCCTCCTGCAGGGCCCTGAACCGCACGGGCCTGGCGGGGCGGCAGCAAGAGGGGGGCGAGCGAGTCAACGCCACCACGTGGGGCCGTGCGGCCGTGCGACCGTGCGGCCGTGCGGCACAGCGCCCAGTCGTGCGATCGCGTTGTTGTGCCGCCGGAGTTGCCGCGACGTCACGTTTGGCGTCACGTGGGCTGACACGACACGGCGGTGATCCCGACTCCACTTTCCCGTAACTTCGCAACCGCGTGACACATTTTCGCCGCACTGCTTTAGCGCCACGTGAGTCGTGAGAGAGTGAAGGCCGCGTCAGTGTTCTTCACGTGCAGTTCGCCCAACACAGGCCGTAGATCTTCCACTCCACTCACACAGCACAAACCGGTACCAGCTCAGCTAGAAAAACTTCAATCACCTCTCTTTATTTACACGGCCAGGGATAATTAATTTCTTATTGATAGCCCTCACTCAGGTCAAGTGGTTATCACGTGATTCACTGATGTGAAGATCATGTCAGGTGGTACTATATCTGGTCTGGGCTCATGGACTACCACCTTTTGTCTTCACAGTGATAATGTTTGCACACATCGCACCAGGTACTCATTCGAGGCCGAGTCAACCTATGGGAGGCCCAAGACCGGTTTGGTGATGGCCGTGCTAACCGCTGCACTACCACTCCCCACACACGCACGCGCGCACGCACACACGCACACACATGCACACACGCTACCTCCCGGTGAGGCTGTCGTCGAGGGGAAAGGTCACCCTCCTCCAGCGGCGCGAGGGGAAGAGGGCCGAGGCCTGCGCCACCGCCCCGGTGCACTGTGGGTCGGCGGGCAGGCACTGCGGCTGCAGGTAGCGCCATGTGACGCCGAAGTCCACGGACGCTTGGACGTGCACGGGGCCGCCCCGCTCGTCCCGGCCCTCAGTGCCGTCCCGGCAGCCCACGACCATCTGGGCACCAAGGCATTGTGGGAAGGCCGGTGGTAACGTCGTTGTTATTTATTTATTTTATCCAGGAGAGCCACACAGAGTCGTAGGGCTCTGGTTCAGGAGGGTCCTGCTGCTATGTTTGGATTGTGTCAAGATGTTTTCAGAAGATAAATGACGAGTGTGTTTATTATTATACCACGTGGGTGGAAACCGGAGCACCCGGAGTAAACCCAAACCTTACGCGCGGGGGCAACACTCCATCCCCGTATAGATGGAAAGAGATGGAGGTTAGTCCACACTTTGCTGTACCGCCTTCTGGCGAGCACGCCGGAAGCGAATTTCACAACATCTGAGTGCGATCCACCAACCCTCCCCCGCTGCCTCCGCAACGCTGGGTCACAGGCAGCCACGAGGGGCAGCGTAGCCACCGCCGTCGCCTCACCCTCGCGGCCAGGGGTGCGGGGCTCGGGTTGGAGGCGGCCCCCCCGGGCGCTCCGCGTCGTCTCACCTTGGCGTGGAGCACCCAGCCGGGCCTCGGCTCCATGTCGTGCGTGGAGAGCGCGACGGCGTCGCCGGCGCCGCCCGCCGTGGCTCCTCCGCACAGCAGCACGTCCCCCGGGGCCCCGCAGAACCTCCCCACCTCGCAGTCGTCGTGGAACAGCCAGCCGCTGTGCACTGCGCCCGGCACGGCGCGGGAGAAGAGCTGGGTCAGCGGCAGAGGTGCAGGCCCCACAACGGCTTTGTTCTCTACCCTGCTGCCCGTTCCTCCGTACGGATCGCTTTGCTGTGCTTGTTCTGTGCTCACAGCGCCCACGGATCTCCCCCCCCTCCCAGCCCCCCCCCCTCCTCCTCGCCCCCCCTGCAAATGTAGCTGGGTAACTGGCTAAACGGGACTTTCCCGTCTAACAAATAAATATTGAATTGAATTGCTTATGTCATTGCTTGAGGATGAGCCTCCGCTCGAGGCTATTTTGGCCTACTCTTCCACGCTGGCCCAGCCACACACTGCCAGGCTCTCGTATAATTATAATAATTGTGTAATTTTATATAATTGCGTAGTTAATGCGAATTGCATCTCTCACAATCTCCAAGGAACCACGGACAAAGCTGGAAGGCAGCAGCAGCAGCAGCCAGGCTACCAACAATTGCCCAAGCTCTGAAGTCCTCTTTCTATTCAGATTTTTCAATCAAGGAAAGGGGGGGTTTGTGGGGGGTTTGTGGGGGGTTTGTGGGGGGTGTGGTGGGGGTTGGGGTTTGTGGGGGGTTTGTGGGGGCTGTGGTGGGGGGTGTGGTGGGGGGTTTGTGGGGGGTTTGTGGGGGGTGTGGTGGGGGTTGGGGTTTGTGGGGGGTTGTGGGGGGTTTGTGGGGGGTGTGGTGGGGGTTGGGGTTTGTGGGGGGTTTGTGGGGGGTTTGTGGGGGGTTTGTGGGGGGTTTGTGGGGGGTGTGGTGGGGGGTTTGTGGGGGGTTTGTGGGGGGTTGTGGGGGGTTTGTGGGGGGTGTGGTGGGGGTTGGGGGGGGCGCTCACGCTCCACCAGGTGCCGCGTGTCCACCGTCGGCGGCAAGTCGCCGCCGCCGCCGCCGCCGCCGGGGGCGCCGTCGGACTGCGGGAGGTCGAGCAGGCGGGCGAGCGGCACGGAGAAGGAGTCGTGCATGCCGAGCGGCCGCTCCTGGCGCCAGCCGCCCACGAGCACCGAGTCGAGCGCCCAGTCGGTGCCGTCGCGCGCGCCGTGCCGCGGCTGCCACCACCGCAGGCGCACGCCGACCGCCCGGGCCTCCTCCTGGAGCACCACGCTCACGAAGCTGGCGCCGCGGCACCACGGGCGCATGGTTACGCCGGCGCACGCCGGCGCTCGTTTGAGGCCGACTCAACCCGAAGCCCAGGACCAGCGAAAAATGATTTGCCACCGGCGTTCACCGTGAGCGGGAATCGAGGCATGCTAGCCGCTGCGCTACCGCAGCAAAGGCAAAGATCCCCGTATAGACTTAAACGACTGTCAGGGCAAGTGCTGTTAAGCAAGTCGCACCTATGAAGGCCGGAACGGCGCACGAGGGGGTGGGTGGCCAGCACCACGCCCGACCGCCTTTGTCTCCCGAGTAGCGATGTTTACACACCTCACCGGGTACTCATTTGAGGCCGAGTCGACCTAGGGGAGGCCCAGGACCGGTTCACATAATCGTCACCGGTGTTGGCCGTGAGCGGGAATCGAACTCGGGGCGCCGGGTCCATAGGGCAGCGCGCTAACCGCTCCACCACCGCTCCCCACGTACACGCGCACACTGACGTGTGGACACACGCACACAACCAGGACGAGGGTCCGGGGATCGTACCCGCCCTGCGTGAGCTCGTGCAGGAGCTGCCAGGTGACGCCGCCGTTGGTGGAGAACTGGAGCAGCACGGCCGGCTCGCGCCCGCCCGCCGGCATGGGCGCGGGCGGCGTGGCGCAGCCCCAGGAGAAGGTGAACTGAACGAACTCGGCCAGCGTCAGGTCGAGGTCCACGCTCACCAGCGTCCGCGTGCACGGCTGCGCGACGCGGCGCGTGAACGCAGCGGGACGTGCAGAGACACGGACACGAGCACACACCGGTATACACACACACGCGCGTGTAGCCTGAACACGCCTAGCGGGTGGCGGTGGGAGCGGTGGGAGCGGTGGGAGCGGTGGGAGCGGTGGCGGCTGCGGTGCTCGTGGTGGTGGCGACGACGATGAGAGCGGTGGCGCGTGGAGAGCCCACCCCGGTGAAGCGCAGCGCCGTCCCGGAGACGAGGGAACCGCAGCCGGCTTCGACGGCGCCGCCGGCCACCTGCAGCCAGCGCTGGGGGGCGGGGGGGCCCTGGAAGGCGTCCTTGAGCTGCGTGGGCAGCGGCTCCGTGGCCTCGTCGCAGTAGAGGCCGGCCCAGCCGACGTCGCACCTGGGGAAGGGGGCGTCGTCGCGAGGCCGCGTCCACGCAACGTTGCCACTGCCGCATTTCTGCGGGGCTCGACCAGGACACGCGGCGCAGAGCTGGAAGCCCCTCCCCTTTCCCGCCAGCCCCACCCGTTTTCACACAGCCACGCCCACTCAGTCACTAGCCCCTCGTGCACAGCGATCACCGTTCGCCGTTCCCGACGTGAGCCTTGCCTATCACCCCTCAGCTCCTCCCACTGCTCCGGCAGCTCCGCCCTTTGCTTGCATCACGAGGCCAGAAGATTTTAACCCAAAGAGAAAAATTCGGGTGGGCTTTCTGAAAGTGCTGGGTTGTCCGGGCCCAACCGGTACATTCGCTAACTTGACTAAACATCGCTGGCAGTATCACCCATGTTGCCCCCCCCCCCGCCATTCTCCCGTGCCCCCCTTTCTCACGTGCACGCCCCACGTGTGCAGCGGCCGTGGCCAGAGCAGGCGTCGGGGCACGAGTCCCCGATGTGGACGTTGTCCAGGGCCCAGCTCTGCTGCCAGTCGAAGGGGAACGGCTGGGACCAACGGAACCTGGTGGCGGGGGAGCTGGGGATGCGTGGGCAGAGAGGGGGGGTACGCAGCGGCGTGACAAGCGAGGCCATGGGGAGACAAACAGGGTCACGGAGGCATCGAAACGGAGACACGTACGGAGACACGAGGCCCCAAGGTCATTTTGAACTCTTCGGGACAGAGAAACATGGGCAGATGAACGCACGTGAACTCGGGAACACATCTGAACACGTGGAGACACACGGGGAAGCTGAAACAAGAGGCCAACAGAGACCCACGTGGGGGGGGGGGACACACGGACACACTGACCTGTTCACAACAGGATACAGATGCAGCGGGCACAAGAGCAAACTGACGGACGCACAGACATACGGTCACGATTCCACCGGGACACGGGGAGACAGCAGGGACATAACGACGGGGACACAAGAACATAGATAACAATGGGACAGCGCACGGAGACGTGGGATGCGGGGGAGACCCCACGGGGGGACAACACGCGGGGGGGACACGCGGAAGCACCGGGTGGACGGGGGCAGAGGGATGGTGATGCGGGTCCAGCGGGGGTAGAGGTCGGAGAGCAGGGGGCCCGGCACGGCGTGGAGCCAGCAGGGGGCGTGCGGTGCGGTGCAGTAGGGCAGCAGCGGCCGCCACGTCACGCCCAGGTCGCGCGAAAACTCCAGGGCGATCGCTGCGGACACCACAACGACGACAACAGCCACCGTCGCCATTCGCCACCGTGCTTGTGCCAGCCTAGGTGCGCTTTGAGTACGTGAGAAGTGCCAAGGACTCGCTGGTAGGAGGAGGTCACGGGACAGACCCAGGTGTTACGGGTCGGCTGAGACGACCGCTGTGCTCCCCACTGTGCCAACGTAGCCAAGACAAATCCAGAGATCCCTCGCGTAGCCTTTTAACGGGCTGTTGGGGCAAGTCCTGCTTGTCGCGAGCAGCAGCACCCACGATGGCCGGCATGGCGAGCGTGCCGGTGGTGCGGCCAGCGCCAGCGCCGGGCCGACAGAGACGCGCACGCTCACCGTAGCAGGTGCCAGCATCGCCGCACGAGGCCACGAAGTCGAACTGCAGGAAGGAGTCGTCGCCCACGGCCAGGTCGCCCGTCACGGCGTAGCGTGACGACGACTTGTTCGCGAACACCAGCGCGTCGCCCGCGGAGCCGCACGCGGGGCCCCGGAGCCCGCCCGGCAACAGCAGCCACGCGTCGCCCGGCGCCAGCGAAAAGTCGTCCTCCAGCACCGAGGAGCCGGGCGCGCTGCCTCCCACCACCACCTGCAACGGCGGCGGTGCCGCCGCCCCCGCCGGGGATTAGCGGCCCGAGTGGATCAAGGGGTGTCGGGATAACAAACTCAAAATGTTGGATCGTAAAATGGAACGCAGCCACTTTTAACCGTTTACAAATCTCGTAAATTTGATTACGCTTGGGATCATCACGATTGTAATTTTGTCAGCTTATTAGCCTCAAGTGGCGGCGATTTGAGCCTCGTGAAAGTAGCGCAGCGTGTCCGCCGTGTGATGTTAGTAGCCACGCGATGCTCCTCCCATCGCTATTTCTCTTTGGGGCCCACAATGGGTTGGCACCACCACTGGGGCAGACAGATGCAGCTGCCAACGTTCTGACAAAAGCTCGACCAGGAGCTCGCGACCTTCCGACCTCGAAGCCGGCGACGGCCAACTCGGTCGGACGGCGGAACCGGAAAACACGGAAACCCGCGGACAAAATCCGTAATCTTGTGCCGCCCGGCGTCACCTGGTCGATCGCCCAGGGTGTGTAGAGCGCCGGCGAGAGGAGCGGCTGCCACCAGCGCAGGCGCGTGGCCGGCGTCGCGGCCTTTCGCGGCACGTGCAGCGCCACGTAGCGCGGCGCCGGCCCCGACTCGCCGAAGCTCAGCTCCTGCAGGAGTTGCCAGCTCTGCCCGGCATCCGTCGAGAACTGCAGCAGCAGCGGCGCGGAGCGGCGGTCGGGCGCCGTCTTGCTGCAGCCGAGACGCACGTAGAACTGCACGAAGCTGCGCGGTGCCGCCCAGGGTCAGGTAGAAAGAGTTAGGGTCGGGGTTAGGGTTAGCGTCAGGGTTAGACACGCGGTTCACAGATATGGCGACGGTGAGGCTTTAGGGTCGAGGTTAGGTGATTTAGGTTCAGAGTGAGGTTCAGAGTGAGGTTCAGCGTGCGGGTTAGGCTAGGATCAGGTTCGTCTTGCGATCGTGCGTGCAACTCACGTGGCGCGCGAGAGGTCGAGGTCGTGGGTGAGCAGCATGCGGAGGCCGCCGTCTCCGTCGGCGAACACGAGGCTGGAGCCGTCGGCGAGGACCCCGCAACGTCGCGACACGCGCCCACCGCTCCACGCCGCCAACTCGGCCTCGCTCGGGGGCTCTGCGCGCACCGCACGGGGGCAGCCGTCAGGGGGGCGGCCAGCATGGGGCAATCATCCACATTGCAGGGCAGGGAAGGGTGCGGGTAAAGCATAAACATTCCCCAGTGCCATTTGCCAATATTGTAATGGAGCGCTGCGTGCCGTGGTGGCCTGGGGACCGGGAATTAGGATTTTTTTTAAATTTGTGGAAATATTTACCCGATCGGAATGATTTGCACCCTAACATTTCGAGTCTCGCGAACGCGCGACCGCGGCCGCGTTGGCACGACCCGCGTCCCACCGCGTCACCTTCGAAGTCGTGGGAGAGGAAGCTCCGGAGCGGCGGGCGTTGGGCGCACGTGGGGCCCGAGAAGCCGGCGTCGCACTCGCACCGCGTGCCGCCGACGCAGCCGCCGTGGCCACTGCACATCTCCTCGCACTGCGGCCCCACGTAGACGCCATCCAGCGCCCACGGGCTCCCCCCCGCGCTCCCCGGCAGGAAATAGCCCTGGTACCAGCGGAACCGCACGGGCCTGCGGGCATCGACGGAGGATGGACGCATGTGGGGGGGGGGGGGGGCGAGGTTAAGTGGGGGCACAACTGAAACTGTGGGGGGCGGTGGAGGCTCAAGGGAGCAGCAGGGCAGACTCTTCCAGGGTGGTGGTGGTGGTGGTGATGATGATGGTGATGATGACAGTGGTGGTGAGGGCATTGCAAGTGCAGAGCGAAGGTGGTCACGATGGTGATCAGAAAGCTGTCGATAACGGGGTCGGCGTTTGCGACGGCGCCGCCGCCGTCTCCGTACCCGCACAGCTGCAGCTTGCCCACGTGCAGCGCGTGCCGCGCCCAGCCGGGCCGGGCGCCGGCGTAGAAGACGCTCGGCGGGTGGCGCTCGGTGGAGCACAGGGGCCCCCCCGGGCGGCCGGCGCCGGCGCACAGGGGCCGCAACAGGTGCCAGGTGGCGCCGCGGTCGCGCGAGAACTCCAGCCGCACCGGCGTGGCCGGAGCGCCGGCGGCGGTGTCCTCGCCACACCCCACCGCGATCTGCGACCGGAAAATAAACACAAAAATGTACACCGTAAAGTATCGAAATTGAACATTAAAATAAAATCATTGGTTGCCGTGAGGGCGGCCGGGGAACGGCAGCGGGCGGCACCTGGAACTGCAGCACGGTGTTCTCCGCCACCACGAGGTCCCGCGTGCACGCCGAGCGCTCGCCATCACCGCCTGCCGCGAACACCAGGGCGGTGGCACCAACCCTGCATGGCACACGAGGGGGTGGTTGGTCAACACCACGCCCGGACGCCTTTGTCTCCCTCGTGGCAATGTTTACACACCAAGTACTCATTTGAGGCTGAGTCGACCTAGGAGAGATCCATAACCGGTTCAGGTAATCGTCACTGGTGTTGGTGCACCGTGAGCGTGAATAGAACTCAGGTCGCCGGGTTCGTGACAGCGTCACACACACAGCAGCACACAGTGTCACACACAGCATCACACAGCGTCACATAGTGTCACACACAGCGTCACACACACAGCAGCACACAGTGTCACACAGCTTCACACAGCGTCACACAGCGTCACACACAGCATCACACAGTGTCACACAGCTTCACACAGCGTCACACAGCGTCACACACAGCATCACACAGTGTTACATAGTGTCACACACACAGCGTCACACACACACAGCATCACACAGAGTCACACACAGCGTCACACATTGTCACACACACAGCGTCACACACACAGCAGCACACAGTGTCACACACAGCGTCACACACACAGCATCACACAGTATCACACACACAGCGTCACACACACAGCAGCACACAGTGTCACACACAGCGTCACACACACAGCATCACACAGTGTCACACACACAGCGTCACACACACAGCAGCACACAGTGTCACACACAGCGTCACACAGTGTCACACAGCTTCACACAGCATCACACAGCGTCACACACAGCATCACACAGTGTCACATAGTGTCACACACAGCGTCACACACACAGCAGCACACAGCGTCACGCACGCAGCGTCACACAGTGTCACACAGCATCACACAGCGTCACACACAGCATCACACAGTGTCACATAGTGTCACACACAGCGTCACACACGCAGCGTCACACACGCAGCGTCACACACACAGCGTCACACACGCAGCGTCACGTGCCCAACATACACAGCATCGTCCTCGCCGCCACCGCCGGCGCCGCCCCCGCCAGCTCCCCCCCCGCGGCCGGCGCAGTAGGACCCCGCGCGGCCCCCCGGGTGGAAGAGCCCCCCGGGGCCCTGGGGGCCGAACGAGTCGAGCAGCAGGGCGTGGCCCGGGCCGCCGTCGTCCCCGTCCAGCAGCACGTCGTCCAGCGCCCACACGTGCGCGTCGCGCCCTTCCACGCGGGGGGGGGGGGGCGGGTACGGGGAAGTGAGAGGCGGCGTAGGGTGGGCAGAGGGCGTCACCTAGGGGGAGAGGCATAGTGCGGTGGTGGAGGTGGTGGCGGTCGTGGTGCTGGAGGCGGTGGCGGTGGTGGTGCTGGAGGCGGTGGCGGCGCTGGAGGTGGTGTTGGGGGCAGCGATGGTTGGTGCTGCTCCTGGGGGGGTGTGGGGGAGGCGGCACCTCAAGGGGGGGGGGGGGCAGGGGTCGGGGGCATCCCAGTGCGGGTTGCTGTTGGGCGAGGGGCGTGGGGGCTCCTCACCTCCGTGCCGCGGCTGCCACAGGCGGAATCGCGTGGCGTTGGTCTGCGCCGTGTGGGGGAGCGGCGCGCTCACAAACAGCCGGTCCGCGGGGGGGGCCGTGGGGTCGGCGGGCCCCGCGCCGGAGGGGGGCCCGGTGGATGGGGGGCCCAGCTCGTCCAGCAGCCGCCAGGAGATGCCGCCGTTGATGGAGAACTGCAGCAGCACGGCGTGGGAGCGGTCGCTCCAGTCTGCGGCGTGGTGGAGGAGCGAGCGAGGTGGAGCGAGGAGGAATCAGGAGGGTTGGTGTCAAAGTCTGCTGGAGTGCGTCGAAGCCGAGTGGAATTAATGTGGAGTGGGGCGGGGAAGCGAGCGCGGAGTGGGAGGAGGCGCACCCGAGGAGAGGAAGCGCAGGTAGAGCTGCAGGAAGTGCGCGCTGGTGCAGTCCAGGTCACGTGACACGAGCAGGCGGGGCCCGTCCTGCAGGAGAGCGCAAGCACAGCCACTCGTTCGCCAGTGGTGAGCGAGCGAGCACGTCGCCGTGTGAGCGTGCGAGCCCCCAGGCCGCTCTTGCAAATGAGACTCTACCCCGGTCTTTGGAGCTCTCAGCTGGTCAAATAAAATCTACTTGAACCTGTGGGTATGGCCGCAGAGCTGCGAGCGAACGGTGCGAGTCTGTGGGAGTGCGTGTCAGTGAGTCACCCCACGAGTGAGTCCTCCAGCATGTCTGTCCCACGCACCTCGCGCGTTGCCACGAGAGTGTGTGTGTGTGTGTGCTGCTCATTTCGGTCATTCAACCCAAAGCACCTGGGTAAGTCCCGTGACTTCCTGCCAGCGGCGAACCTTACACACCTCACGTGGTGATCTCAAAGTGCACCAAGCCTGACACTAGCGCCAAGTGCTGTGTTGACAAGCAAGTGAGAGTGTGTGTGGGCGTGTCTTTGTGCGTGTGTACAATTGTGCGTGTGTACGAGTGTGTATGTGCGTGGAGGGAACGGTGACGTAGCGGTTAGCGCACCACACGACGAACCCAGCGACGAGTCCGATTCCTGCTCATGACAAACACCAGTGACGATTATCTGAACAGGTCATGGGCCTCCCCTAGGTCGACTTAGCCTTAAATTATCACCTGGTGCAGTGTGTAAACATCGCCACTTGGGAGACAAAAATGGCAGGGTGTGGTGTTGGCCACCCACCCCCTCGTGTGCCGTTCCGGCCTTCAAAGGTGCTCGCTAATAGCACTTGCCCCGTCAGTCTGTTAAGGCTATGTGTGTACAAGTGCGTGTGTGTGTGTACAAGTGTGTGTGTGTGTGCCACTAAGAGATGGGGCCTTACCATTAGCCCCACCAAAACTAAGCACCTGCCTGGGTATTTTGTACCATCGGACACTCCACCCCCACAACTCCCAATCGGTGATGGGGCAGTTGTGGAGAGAGTGGAGAGTTTCCCATACCTGGGAAGTGTGCTTATGACCGGCTCCAGTTTAACAGCAGAGGTCTCACTCCGAATCAGTCGAGCGGCAATATCTTTTCATCGGTTGCGTAACGCTGTGTGGAAGCTACCTGGTCTGTCGCTCCGCACTAAGCTTCAGGTCTTCTCGGCCACGGTCATTCCCTCCCTTCTCTACGCTTGTGAAACGTGGACCCCCCTAAAGGAACAACTTCGCCGGTTAGAAACATTTAGGCTGGCCTGCATACGATCCATCCTGGGTTTAACCAGACTGGATTATGTGAAGAGCTCACAAATCCTTGAAAGATCTGGGCAAGGTCCCATCGGTAAGCTCCTCCGGCGGGCAAGGCTGCGATGGCTGGGTCATGTAGCCCGCATGCCCAGCCACCGCATGCCGAAACAGCTTTTGTTCGGCCGGATCGAGGGGGCTAAGCGGGCGCGGCACGGGCTAGAGAAGAGATGGAGTGATGTGGTACAGGAGGACGAGGAGCTGAGTGGACTTGCCGATGACTGGTACCAGCGGTGTCAAGATCGGCCTCTGTGGAGGAGGCTCGTGACGGACGCTACTGGGCAGTTGGAGGTAGTCGCCCTCAAACAACAACGGAGGGCGGAGGAGCGACGCTCACAACAACGAGCGGAGCGCCGGGTGGCTAAAGCACAGCAGGTTGGCACAGTAGGGGGCACAGGTGGTGCATCAGCCAGTCATCTCAGTCAGTCGACCCATGGCACCTGGGTCTGCCCCATGACCTCCTGCCAGCGGGCGTTCGACACTCCACGTGGCCTCCAGGTGCACATGTCCTGGCACAAGCGTCGTGGTGACGTCACCGCCACTTAGTGGCGAATGGCGGTTGTTGTTGTTGTGTGTACAAGTGTGTGTGTGAGCGGAGCGATAGTGTAGCGGTTAGCGCGCTGCGCTATGAACCTGGCGACTCGGGTTCGATTCCCGCTCACGGCCAACACCGGTGACGATAATCTGAACGGGTCCCGGGCCTCCCCTAGGTCGACTCAGCCTCAAATGAGTACCTGGTGCGGTGTGTAAACATCGCCACTAGGGAGACAAAGGCGGTCGGGCGTGGTGCTGGCCACCCACCCCCTCGTGTACCGTTCCGGCCTTCATAGGTGCTCGCTAACAGCACTTGCCCCTACATTCTGGTACGGCTATACGGGGGATCTTTGTCTTTTTTGTTTGTGTGTGTGTGTACAAGTGCGTATGTGTGTGTACAAGTGTGTGTGTGTGTGTACAAGTGTGTTGTATACAAGTGTGTGTGTGTACAAGTGCGTGTGTGTGTGTACAAGTGTGTGTGTGTGTACAAGTGTGTGTGTACAAGTGTGTGTGTGTACAAGTGTGTGTGTACAAGTGTGTGTGTGTACAAGTGTGCGCCCTCGCCTGCCGGAAGATGAGCGCCGGTCCGGAGGTGACGGCGCCACTGGGAGGGCCGCCCCAGTCGGCGCCGAGGCGCTGGGGCCACTCGACGGCGCTCGGCTCCGAGTCGAAGTCGTCCATGAGCAGCGACGGCAGAGGCACGGTCGGCACGCAGTACGCGCCGCCAAACCCCTCGTCGCACCTGCGGCACGCGCGGCACGTACGCACGCCGGTGAGCGGAGATGCCGGTGAGCGCGCGCGCCGGCGAGTGGAGATGCCGGCGAGTGCCGTCGCTCACCGGCAATGCCCCGAGAGGCAGGAACCGTGGCCGGAGCAGAGCCAGGGGCACCCGGAGCCCAGGTAGACGTTGTCCAGCGCCCACGGGGAGCCCCGGGGCCCACAGGGGCCCCCACGCTGGATCCAGCGAAACCGCGTGCGGGGAGAGCTGAGCGCACACGAGCGCACAAAGACAAAGATCCCCCGTGTAGCCTTAGCAGACCGTTGGGGCGCGTGCTGTTAGTGAGCACCTATGAAGGCCGGTACGGCAAATGAGGGGGTGGGTGGCCAACACCACGCCCGCCCGTCTTTGTCTCCCCAGTGGCGATGTTTACACGCCGCACCAGGCACTCATTTGAGGCTGAGTCCACCTAGGGGAGGCCCAAAACTCGTTCACTAAAATACTCTCCTTGTGGAACACTAACCTCCTGGGGTCGGAAATACTAAGTCTGTGTGTTCCTTGTGGTGATTAAGGCGCTGGGAGCGCTGGAAGTGCTGGAAGTGCGGGTGGTAGCGGTGGTGGCGGTGACCGCAGCGCCAGCGCGCCGTACGTGGCGGCGGGCGGCAGGTAGACGGTGACGCGCGTCCAGGCGGCGTGCGTCTGCGCCGTGTAGACCGAGGCGCGTGCGTAGCGCTCGCAGCCCAGCGCCGGCGGCGCGCACTCCTCCTGCAGCAGGCGCCAGCCGCGCCCCACCGACAGCGAGAACTGCAGCTCAACCGCGGCGCCGCCGCCGCCGCCGCACGCCTCCTCCGCGCCGCCCCCCGGAGGGAGCGGCGCGTCGCTGGCGCCGGGCCCCCCGGGCCCCCCGGGCCCCCCGGGCCCCCCGGGCCCTCCCGGTTCCCCCCCCACGCTGATCTCGAACTGCAGGAAAGTGGAGGCGGTGACCTGGTAGTCCCACGTCTCGGCAAGCCGCGGCCGGTCTACTCGCAGCGGACGGAGGAGCCGGAAGGCGGTGTTCGGGGGGGGTACACAGTGACTTACCAATACACAACTCGACACTCAACAACACAAAGCAGCACTACTTCACGAAGCGCCAATTTGCCCGCACCTCAGCCCCACCGGCACCTCAGCCCCATCGGCGGCACATTCGCACCGCCCGTGGCCAGGCCGGGCCGTAGAGGCCTCACCGGAGTGGCCGCCGAACCGGAGGCCGTGATCGCCGTTGCCGGAGCCGGCGCCGCGAAGCACGCGGCCCCCCTGGATCTGGAACCAGGGCCCCCCGCCACCGCCGGCCCCCGGCTCCTCGAAGCCGTCCTGGAAGCCGGGCAGGGAGCTGTCGTTGACTCCGACGAGGACGTCGTCCAGCGCCCACTGGGCCCCGGCGCGGACTGGCACGCACGGGACAGACGCATTGGACCTCGGTCTCCCCTAGGTCAACTCAGCCTCAAACGAGTACCCGCTGCGGTACGTCAACATTGCCGTGGGGAGACAAATGGGGCTAGGCATGGAGCCGGCATGGAGCAGGCATGGAGCCGGCCCCCTCGCGCACCGTCATTAGGCGCTACTCGCTAACTGCACTTGCTCCAAAAGTCTGCCGAGGATACGGGGAGATCTTTGTCTTTGTACCGTGCTGCGGCTGCCACCAGCGGAAGGCGGTGTGCGGCGTCTTGGCCGGGGGCGGCAGCACGAGGCCCACGAGCTCGGGCAGCAGGAAGGAAGAGAAGTCGAGCTCGCGCAGCAGGGACCAGCTGACCCCGTTGTCCGGGGAGAACTGCACGAGGACACCTGCAGCACAGAGAGAAAGCCAGCAAGAGCCAGCCAGCGAGTGGTTTGTAGAGCGAGTACATGGGAGAGTGAGCGAGTGGCTACGGATACAGCGAGGGTGAGTGAATCAGCGGTTTGAATGAGTGAGCGGTCGTGCAACTAGCACGTGAATGAGTAGAGTTGTAGAGTGAGCGAGCGAGCGAGTGAGCGAGCGAGTGAGCGAGCGAGTGGTTGAGGCTCCGTGGAGTCACCCTGGTTGCGCGTGCGGGGTTTGGAGCAGGCGGTGCCCAGGTCGGTGCTGCCCACGCGGATAAAAAACTGCAGCATCCTGTGGCGTGGGGCAGCACACACGGCACACTGCGTCACAACGCGGCACACCGCGACAACGGCACACTCGCTCACGCAGCACACTTGTCCACACAACACACTCGCCCACGCAACACACTCGCTCACACAGCACACTCGCTCACGCAGCACACTCGCTCACGCAGCACACTTGTCCACACAGCACACTTGTCCACACAGCACACTCGCCCACGCAGCACACTCGCTCACACAGCACACTCGCTCACACAGCACACTCGCCCACGCAGCACACTCGCTCACGCAGCACACTCGCTCACACAGCACACTCGCTGACACAGCACAGCCCACACAGCACACTCGCTCACGCAGCACACTCGCTCACACAGCACACTCGCTCACGCAGCACAGCCCACACAGCACACTCGCTCACACAGCACACTCGCTCACACAGCACACTCGCTCACGCAACACACTCGCCCACGCAACACACTCGCTCACACAGCACACTCGCTCACACAGCACACTCGCTCACGCAGCACAGCCCACACAGCACACTCACTCACGCAGCACACTCGCTCACACAGCACACTCACTCACGCAGCACACTCGCTCACACAGCACACTCGCTCACACAGCACACTCGCTCACACAGCACACTCGCTCACACAGCACAGCTCACACAGCACACTCGCTCACGCAGCACAGCCCACACAGCACACTCACTCACGCAGCACACTCGCTCACACAGCACACTCACTCACGCAGCACACTCGCTCACACAGCACACTCGCTCACACAGCACAGCCCACACAGCACACTCGCTCACACAGCACACTCGCTCACACAGCACACTCACCCGACGCCCGTTGTGTCGACCGGCACGGTGCGCGCCTCGCGGCGCCCGGCGCCGTCAAAGTAGAGCGACTCCCCATCCCCGAGGAGTCCGCAGCCCCGGGCCACGCGGCCCCCCAGCACGAAGGCCCACAGGGGCCCCGGCTCGGGCCCCTCGAAGCGGTCGACGGCCTCGCGGGGAGGGGGCGGCACCAGGCCCAGCGCGGCGTCGCGCACGCACGAGCCCTCGTGGCCTGCGCCGTGCCCACACAGCGACAGGACGGGCGTCACAGTGGGTGGGTGAGTGGGTGAGAGTGGGTGAGTGGGTGAGTGGGTGGGTGAGTGGGTGAGTGGGTGTGGGTGGGTGGGTGGGTGAGGGTGTGTGGGTGGGTGAGTGGGTGAGAGTGGGTGAGTGGGTGAGTGGGTGAGGGTGTGTGGGTGGGTGAGGGTGTGTGGGTGGGTGAGGGGGTGTGGGTGAGAGTGTGTGGGTGGGTGAGTGGGTGAGGGTGTGTGGGTTGGTGTGTGGGTGAGTGGGTGACGGTGTGTGAGTGGGTGAGGGGGTGTGGGTGTGTGAGTGGGTGAGGGTGTGTGGGTTGGTGTGTGGGTGAGTGGGTGAGGGTGTGTGAGTGGGTGAGGGGGTGTGGGTGGGTGAGTGGGTCAGGGTGTGTGGGTTGGTGTGTGGGTGAGAATGTGTGGGTGGGTGAGTGGGTGAGAGTGTGTGGGTGTGTGTGGGTAAGAGTGTGTGGGTGGGTGAGTGGGTGAGGGTGTATGGGTTGGTGAGTGGATGAGGGTGTGTGGGTGGGTGAGTGGGTGAGGGTGTGGGTGAGGGGGTGTGGGTGGGTGAGTGGGTGAGGGTGTGGGTGAGGGGGTGTGGGTGAGGGGGTGTGGGTGGGTGAGTGAGTGTGTGAGTGGGTGAGGGGGTGTGAGTGGGTGAGGGTGTGTGGGTGGGTGAGTGGGTGAGGGTGTGGGTGAGGGGGTGTGGGTGAGTGAGTGGGTGAGCGTGTGGGTGAAGGGGTGTGGGTGGGTGAGTGGGTGAGGGGGTGTGGGTGGGTGAGTGGGTGAGGGTGTGTGGGTGAGTGGGTGAGGGTGTGTGGGTGGGTGAGTGGGTGAGGGTGTGTGGGTGAGGGGGTAAGGGTGGTGCTAGCCACCCCACCCCCTTCTGTGCAGTGCCATCCTGCTATTCGCTAACACCACTTTCCCCAACAGTCTATCAAGGCTATACGTGGAATCTTTGTCTTGTGGGGAGCGGCAGTGTAGCGGATAGCGCACCACACTTGGAACCTGGCGATCCGAGTTCAATTTTCACTCGCGGCACCGGTGACGATTATCTCAACCGGTCCTGGGTCTCCCATAGGCCGACTTGGCCTCAAACGAGTTCCTGGTGCGGCGTGTAAACATCGCCACTCGGGAGACAAAGGCGGTCGGGCTTGACGCTGGCCGCCCCACCCCCTCGTGTGCCGTGCCGGCCTTCGTAAGCGCTACCCGCTAACAGCACTTGTCCCGACAGTCCGTTTAGGCTGTACGGGGAATCTGTGTCTTTATGCGTGCGTGTGCGTGCCCTTGCCCGTGTATCCGGCGTCGCACGTGCAGTTGGCGGCCCGGCAGGCCCCCCGGCCCCCGCAGTGGCCCGGGCACGGCTCGGACACGGCCACCTCGTCCAGGGCGAACGGGGGGGGCGGGGGACCTCCCACGGACCCCGAGGTCCCTGTCTCCTGCAGCCAACGGAACTGCACCTTCCTTCGTGACGCACGGACACACGCACGCAAAGACAAAGATCCCCCATATGGCCTCCACCAGACTTGTCGGGGCGCGCGGCCTACGGCGTTGACGTAGTCGCAGCAGCAGTCGTCGTCATAGTAACGGTGGTTCTTGACACGTGCCGAATGCGGCGGCTGCGGTCGCGACGCGTTTGTGTTCGTGGCGCACGAGGAGCGGTCGCGGCGTGGCGGTCAGGGTCGGGGCGTGGCGGTCAGGGTCGGGGCGTGGCGGTCAGGGTCGCTGCATCGCGGTCAGGGTCGCGGCGCGGTCGCCGAGATCGACGTCGCGACGCGGCGTCGGTAGAAGCGCACCGGGCGGCGACGGCGCGGGGCACCACGAGCGTGACGCGCGTCCACGGCGGGAGGTCCCCGGGGAGGAACACGGACGCCGAGCGGAGCTCCGGGCCGAGGCCCTCGCAGCCGGCGCCGCCGGACCCCGCCGGCAGGCACGCCTCGTGCACCAGCGCCCACGAGCGGCCCGAGTCATGGGAGAACTGCACCAGCACCGCGCCGCTTGCGTCCCCCGCGGCAACGCCGCCGGAGCCCTCCCGCGCGCCGACCGGTCGGCAAGCGATGTTCAGCTGCGGTGGTACAAAGCGGGCACTGGGATTGGCGCTAGCACGGAGCAGCAGGGGCAGCAGCAGCAAGGTTCGGCGTTATTCCCGCCGGTCCGTGCGGGATGGACCCCAGGGTTCTCACCCCGTTCGAGCAATAACCCCCCTCCGCTCACCCCCACTGCCATGCCCCCCCCCCAGGGCGGGGTCAAACCTTTGGGGGGGGGGTCACCTTGAACTGCAGCGAGTATCCGGGCTTGACGTCGAGGTCGCGGGTCACGGCGTAGCGGTTCCCCTGCGCGAGGCCGAACACCAGCGCCGTCGGCGACGGGGGGGAGCACAGGTCCTCCTCGTCGCCGTGGCGACCCTCGTTGGCCGTCGTTAACCAGATGCTGGGAGGGAACGCGGCGGCCGGGCGCGGCGCCCCCCTCGGGGTCAGCTGCGAGGGCAGGCGGGAGCGGCGACAACACCACGCAGAGACAAAGTTCCCCCCGGATAGCCTTCGACCGGCCGTCGGGGCAAGTGCCGTTAGCGAGCGGCAGCTATGAGTGTCGGAGTGGCGTGGCCGGAACCATTCCCGGCCATATTCGTTTCCCCAGCGCTGATGTTTGCACGCACGCACATACACGCACACACACGCACGCACACGCACACACACACACGCACGCACACACACACACACACGCACACACACACGCACACACACACGCACACACACGCACACACACACGCACACACACACACGCACGCACACACACACACACACGCACACACACACACACACGCACACGCACACGCGCACGCACACACACACACGCACGCACGCACACACACACGCATGCACACACAACACGCACGCGCACGCACACACACACACGCACGCGCACGCACACACACACACTCGCACACACACGCACACACACAGCAACAGGTACTCATAAAAAGGTTGAGTCGATCTAGGGGAGGCCTAGGACTGGAACGGTGTTAGCAGCCGTGAGCGAGAATTGAACCCGGGTCGCCTGGTTCGTAGCGCTAACCACGACACCACCGCGTACGTGGGTTCACAGGCACGCGCAAAGATAATGATCCCCACCCCTATTGGCTAACAACACTCTGTTGGGGCAAGGACTCCTTACCGGTCCCCTCGAAGGAGACCCCTGCGTATGGGGGGTAGGGGATGGGGGGGTGAAGGGAGACCTGGTCCCTGAGCAGCGAGGCCTCGGTGGGGAGGAAGTTGAGGTCGGCCTCCCCGCTCACGATGATGTCGTCGATGGCCCACTGGTCCTGCCCGAAGCCCGAGTGTGCCGGCTGCCACCAGCGGAAGCGGGCGCAGGGGGCGCGGGCGGCCGGGGGCACCGCCTGGTGCACGAACCTGCGGCACGGGGGAACGTGCCGTGCGTCAGCACGGGCAGCAGCGACAAGATCTTCATCATCGTCGCGATCACCAGCAACACGATCGACAACACCAGCGGCACCATCAGTACCGTCATTAACAGCAGTACCATCACCACAATCCTCAACATCGTTGAGAGCACACGGGGAGAACACCACAGCGGGTTCACTACAATCATCCTCATCCACTTTGGCACCGCCACCGCCTCCACCCGCACGTGACCAACAATGCCAACAGCAGAAGTGTTCGGTGCGGCCGACACCTGGGCTGGGTGTAGTCGCGGTAGTGCAGCTCGAGCAGCAGCGTCCAGGTGGCGCCACCGTCCGTGCTGAACTGCAGGAGGACGCCCTCCTCGCGCCGCTCCGCCCCGGCGCAGGCGGCGCCCGCGGGGCCCCCGCCCAGACGCAGCCAGAACTGCACGAAGTCGGCGCCGCGCGTGTCCATGTCGGCGCTCACCAGACGGCGCACGCCGCCCTGCGGGAGTGCCGGAGACGGCGCGCCGGCGTTGTCGGCGCGGCAGCAACGTTGCCACCGCTGCTACGTGGACTCCTGCGCCCGAACCGAAGCGACGCCGGAGGTACGGCGCCGATAGCGGCGGCACGCCGGCGCCAGGGCCAGTGGTGGCAAGCTGCCCGCTTGTTGCGGAGGCTCGCGGTTCGGGTGCCAGCGGCCACCCCGATAAATATCTCGGCGCGTAACAACAAATAGCTGCCGCTTTGTAGCGAGGTCGACGGCGGCTAGCCTATGGATGCGCTCGCCCCCACCCCGCCACACAACAGCAATGTGCAATTTCCATCACCGGCGTGCGTGCGTGCGTGCAGAGGCGTGCGGAGCGCACGGCGCCACCTTGAAGAAGTAGATGGAGTTGCCGGCGGCGACGACGCCGCAGGCCCGCTCCGGGGGCCGCACCTCCCCCCCGTCGACGGCCGCCCACGGCGGCCCGGCCGCCCCTCCCCAGGCCCCCGGGGGATCCTCGTCGAAGGTGGCGTGCAGCGACGTTGGCAGCGCCTCCACGGGCAGACAGCTGGGGCCTTCGTAGCCCAGGTCGCAGCTACCGGCATCGAGGACGACTCGTCACGAGTCATTGTCGATTTAACACGTAGGCTTTCGCGACCAATTTAAGATCAAATTAACATCCATAATAAAGGGATATTTTTGGGGTTAGAGCACGTAAATATAAATGTGTCGTTAAACCCACCACCACCCGACACAACCAATTAGAAAGGAAACACAATTCTGGCTATCGCCTGATGATGCTGGATGTAATCACCAGCGAAACATCGTACCTGAATGCTAAATGTTGTGGGTTTATTCTCCAACACACCGGTGTGCTGTACTAGTAACTAATTGGCATGTTCTGTTTATGTGACACATTTACATTTTCGCGATCTAAACCAACAAAAACCTCTATTATGGATTCTCAGCATCATAAGCATGATCATCACAACATCATCATGAACACTGGCCTTTTGTCATCATAATCATCATCAGCATGACCATCATTATCACCAATCATCTTCATGACCAGGGCTTAATTTCTCACTCCAGGTTACAGTTTGACCAGAGTTGGTGGCACGTGACGATCAGGAGCCACAACCACAACGACAGGAGATATACTGGATGTGGTGTGCCGGGGGTGGAAATATTTTCTGGGTCACCAGCCTGGACAGACCCGACTGAAATTAATCACCGATTAACAGCATTGCCCACATAACCACAATCTCCACACCCTCACGCTCGCCACACCCTCACGCTCGCCACACCCGCACGCCTGTCACACCTGCACGTGCCATGGTGGCACTGTCCATGGTTGTGGCAGGCCTCGGGACACTGCTGCCCCACGTAGAGGCTGCCCAGCGCCCAGCTGTGCTCCTCCAGGGAGTGTCCCGGCCAGCTGTGCTCCTCCCAGGTGTGCACCTCCCAGCCGTGCTCCCCGCCAGGCTGCGCCTCGCTCCAGCGGAAACGCGTTGCTCCAGACCTGCGGCGAGTCACGCTCGCTCAGCTACAAGCACACACAGCTACACGCACAGCTAGGAGTGTGCGGGCACACTCAGAGAGAGAGCGCCGAACAGCATCCACGCTCTGGTGCCAGTATTCGGGGTCCCTCTGCGAATCCCCCAAGCGAGCCCCTCCTTATCCCCGAGTCCTGACAGCAGCGCTCGACCTGACGCAATTCTCTTCCTCCCCCCTCTCCACCTCCCTCCACCCCCCCATCCCCCTCAGAGCACACACGACCGCGGCTGCGAACGCCGCTCACCGGGCGTGCCGTGTGTGTGGGTGAGCTCACCGGGCGTGCCGTGTGTGTGTGCGGGAGCTCACCGGGCGTGCCGTGTGCGTGTGGGTGAGCTCACCAGGTGTGCTGGGGGAGGCCGATGGTGACGCGGCTCCAGCTGGAGCGCTCCGACGAGCGGTAGACGCTCGCCGACGCAAACTCCCCGCAGCTCGGGGCGCCCGGCAGGCAATCCTGGAGCGCGGGTCACAAGTCAAGGTTCGGGGTCACGGACCAACAAGCCGCAACCTCCAACTCTCACGGTAGGAGGCCCAGAGGCCTCCGCTGCTTTTCTGCCCCCACTGTCTGGAACTCCCTTCCCTCAGCATTCCGTACCGTCGACTCCGTGTCCCTGTTCGAGTCCAGGCTCAATCTAGATTGAAAACTCATTTCTTTGGAACTGCTTGTTGTTATTGTGTTCAGTTTGTTGTCCTTCCCCCGCACCTCCGATGAGCACGGGTGGCTACGTACGGTGCGAAAAAAGTTCAATAAACATACATACATCAACTGACTCATCCACATGAGCTCAATAATCCATACAAATTGACATGTGAGAGCTGAGGCTGGGAAACAGACAGATCGGAGAGACGGAGAGAGAGATCAGCACCGGAGTTAAAGACGAAGGGGGGGGGGGGGACAAGCGGCACCTCTTGGACGAGGTGCCACGAGAGGCCGTGATTGGTGGAGAACTCGAGCCGCACGCCAACGCCACCCTCGCCGTCGTCGTCGCCGCCGCCGCCGCCGCCGTCGTCAGCGTTGGGAGAGGCACCCCCCCCCACGCAGCCGAGCGCCATCTCGAACTGCAGGGAGTACCAAGCGCCCACCTGCAGCGGCTGCGTCTCCACGTAGCGCGCGCTGGCCCCCGAGCTGGAGCCGGAGAAACTGTGGAGGGGCGCGCGGAGAGACGAGGGCGGGGGGGAGATGCGGGGAAGCGCATGGCGGAGGAGCGGGCAGATGCGGGGAAGCGCATGGCGGAGGAGCGGGGAGATGCGGGGGAGACATGCGGAGAGGCACGCGTCGGTGCGCGTGCGACGTTTTGTGTAATGACGTCGTCGGCATGGAGGGCCACGCACGAAGTGTGACATCATCACCATGGCCGACAAAGCTTGCCCTTGGAGTGCTCGTTTTTTGCTGGCTTGCCCAAGCTTGCATCTAGTGTTGAAACATCGGCAGAGATGTATGTACATCATGAGACCTCCTTTGCCAGTACCAAAATATAATAAGAGGGTTTTTCCCCTCTTTTCTGGCAACAAAACTGAAACCTTTTTACAAGGATTCATGTCTGCATTAACCACAATACCTATATATGATATATACAGTGAGTGAAAAAAGTATTTGATCCCCTGCTGATTTTGTATGTTTGCCCACTGACAAAGAAATGATCAGTCTATAATTTTAATGGTAGGTTTATTTGAGCAATGAGAGACAGAATAACAAGAAAATCCAGAAAACCGCATGTCAAAAATGTTATAAATTGATTTGCATTTAATGAGGGAAATAAGTATTTGACCCCCTCTTAATCAGAAAGATTTCTGGCTCCCTAGTGTCTTTTATACAGGTAACGAGCTGAGATTAGGAGCACACTCTTAAAGGGAATGCTCCTAATCTCAGCTTATTACCTGTATAAAAGACACCTGTCCACAGAAGCAATCAATGAATCAGATTCCAAACTCTCCACCATGGCCAAGGCGAAAGAGCTCTCCAAGGATGTCAGGGACAAGATTGTAGACCTACACAAGGCTGGAATGGGATACAAGACTATTGCCAAGCAGCTTGGTGAGAAGTTGACAACAGTTGGTGCGATTATTCGCCCCCTCAGCCTGGGGCTCCATGCGAGATCTCACCTCGTGGAGTTGCAATGATCTTGAGAACGGTGAGGAATCAGCCCAAAACTACACGGGAGGATCTTGTCAATGATCTCAAGGCAGCTGGGACCATAGTCACCAAGAAAACAATTGGTAACACACTACGCCATGAAGGACTGAAATCCTGCAGCGCCCGCAAGGTCCCCCTGCTCAAGAAAGCACATATACATGCCCGTCTGAAGTTTGCCAATGAACATCTGAATGATTCAGAGGACAACTGGGTGAAAGTGTTGTGGTCAGATGAGACCAAAATGGAGCTCTTTGGCATCAACTCAACTCGCCGTGTTTGGAGGAGGACGAATGCTGCCTATAACCCCAAGAACACCATCCCCACCGTCAAACATGGAGGTGGAAACATTATGCTTTGGGAGTGTTTTTTCTGCTAAGGGGACAGGACAACGTCACCGCATCAAAGGGACGATGGACGGGGCCATGTACCGTCAAATCTTGGGTGAGAACCTCCTTCCCTCAACCAGGGCATTGAAAATGGGTCGTGGATGGGTATTCCAGCATGACAATGACCCAAAACACACGGCCAAGGCAACAATGGAGTGGCTTAAGAAGAAACACATTAAGGTCCTGGAGTGGCCTAGCCAGTCTCCAGACCTTAATTCCATAAAAAATCTGTGGAGGGAGCTGAAGGTTCGAGTTGCCAAACGTCAGCCTCGAAACCTTAATGACTTGGAGAAGATCTGCAAAGAGGAGTGGGACAAAATCCCTCCTGAGATGTGTGCAAACCTGGTAGCCAACTACAAGAAACGTCTGACCTCTGTGATTGCCAACAAGGGTTTTGCCACCAAGTACTCAGTCATGTTTTGCAGAGGGGTCAAATACTTATTTCCTTCATTAAAATGCAAATCAATTTATAACATTTTTGACATGCGTTTTTCTGGATTTTCTTGTTGTTATTCTGTCTCTCACTGTTCAAATAAACCTACCATTAAAATTATAGGCTGATAATTTCTTTGTCAGTGGGCAAACGTACAAAATCAGCAGGGGATCAAATACTTTTTTCCCTCACTGTATAATATGATATATTATCATAGTATGTTTTTTGTTTGCATTTTGACTGCAGGTATTGTGGTTAATGCAGGCATGAACCCTTGTAAAAAGGTTTCAGTTTTGTTGCCAGAAAAAAGAGGAAACCCCCTATTATAATGTATGTACTTGTGCAATTTGTACTTTGCACTCCTATCGTTGTATTTGTACCTTTCGATGTTGTAACTTGCTGACCCGCCGCTACTGGACATCTGTGCAAAAGAGCTTCATGGCTCATCAGATTCCTCCCCCAGTCTAAATAAAAATTCTGAATCTGACAAGAAGTTTGACGGCGAGTGAGTCGGAGTGCGAGCCGGTGGGCCGGCCGCTCACGTGAGCGTGGCGCCGCGCCCGCAGTACGGCGCCAGCCGTCCCAGGTGGAAGGTGAGCGCCTGCGCCACGGCGGCGGCGTCGCCAAAGTCGACGCTGACGGCGCTGAAGAGCTCCTCCGCCATCGCCAGCTCGTCCAGCGCCCACACGTCGCGGCCCGCGCCAGAGTGCCGCGGCTGCCACCAGCGGAACTGCACGCCGTAGCGCCGTGCGCCGGCGGGCAGCTCCACCGTCACGATGCTGTGCTCGGGCACGATGTGGGAACGGGTGGCATGCGCGGGCGCGGGTGGGTGAGCGAGCGACGTCATAGGAAGTGACATCACGTCCGTGACGCCATGGGGACAGACGCGACATCACCTTCACTCAGATCATTACAACAGTGCAAACATGTTGGATGTTTAAATCGGTAAACAAAACAAAATCCAATAAAAATTTGGTACAAAAATAAACTAAAATCTAACATCAGGAAAAGTGATATCTGAAACTCATCATGATTTCATGCGCACGCGTACAGCAGACAGAGACACAGACCCACAGTTCAACAGACAAGAAAACCAACAGACACACAGAGAGGACAGGCAACCAGACAGGCAGATACAGCGCGGCAGAAAGACAAATCAGGAGACAGACACACGGACAGACACACGGACAGACACACGGACAGACACACGGACAACAGATCAGTTCGAGGTAGTCGGGCACGGAGGGTGGGGGGTCGGTACCGGGGCTCGCGGTAGTCGGGGGGCCGATACTGCGCCAGCAGGGTCCAGCTGACGCCGTTGTTGGGGGAGTAGTGGAGCAGCACCCCCTCCGAGGGAGCGTCCGGTGCCCGGCAGCCGCCCAGCTCGGAGCGGCAGCCGAGACGCAGCGCGAACTGCAGGTACCTGACACCCGCGCGGCACGGGCACCAGCAGGGGAGCAAACAGGCGAGCGGGTGAGTGGGTGAGCAAGTGAGTGGGCGAGTGAGTGGATGGGTGAGTGAGTAGGTGGGTGAGTGAGTGGATGGGTGGGTATGTAGGTAGGTGGGTGAGTAAATGACTGGGCAGCCGGATGGGAGGGTGGGTGGGTACCTGGCTGTGCTGCTGTCCAGGTGAGTGGTGAGCAGGTGACGTGGCCCGGCCTTGTTGAACACCAGAGACTTTCCCGTGGCGAGCACACCGCACACGAAGCCCACCTGCTCACCGCGTACACCCACATCGTCCGCCACACGCGCACACACACCAAGACAAAGATTCCCCGCGTGGCCCTTAAGACTGGAGAGGCAAGTGCCGTTCGCGTGCCGTTCGCGAACACCTATGCAGGTGTGAGCGAGTTTGTGGGATCAGAACCACACCCAGCCGCCTTTGTCTCACCAGTGATGATGTTTACACACGACACCAGGTGCTCATTTGAAGCGGAGTTGACCTCGGAGAGGCCACGAGAGGGAATCGATTCGGAAGTTGAAGACTCTCGGTGAGCCGGGCCTAATTTCAGCCGGGTCTGTCCGGATCGGCGATGCAAATAATTTTTCCGGAACTTGGCAGACCGTATCCTGCACGCAGTTGTTCTTGCGCCGATTTTTCTTTGCTTCATTGCCGTTCCTTTATTTGTATTGATTATGGTTTTGTCATTTTGGAGACTGCAGGCGGTCACTCTCGCGGGTGAGACTCATCCTGCCGGTTTCTCGAGGCGTCACCCGGTCCACCAAAATCACCGTCAACCCGACGCCCCTAGCTCCGGCTGTGACCGCTCGCCAGCGACCTGGGTGCTATCCGCCGACAACCAAAATCCCTGGCCGCGAGGAGGGGAGCCGCGCCACTCCGCCCGGCACGCACTGGCACCCCGGCACGCACCTGCGCCCCGGCCACGGACAGGAAGGAGGAGAGTCCGGGCAGCGGCGGAGTCTGGAAGCTCTCGGAGAGGAAGGGCGGCAGCACCCGCGACGTCTCCTCGCACGCCTCGCCCGAGAAGCCCGCGTCGCAGCTGCCCACGGGGACACACGGGGACCACGGGGACCACGGGGACCACGGGGACCACGGGGACACACGGGGACACACGGGGACCACGGGGACCACAGGGACCACGGGGACCACGTGGACCACGGGGACCACGGGGACCACGGGGACCATGGGGACACACGGGGACCACGGGGACCACGGGGACCACGGGGACCACGTGGACCACGGGGACCACGGGGACGTATGGGGGGGAGCGAGTCACAGAGACTCACAGGGCCGGACGGGGATACACGGGGGGCAGGGGATTAGGTCGCAGGAGACAGGGGGACAGCGGAGGAGGTGACGCGGACAACACACGGGGATGCACCAGGATGAGCGGGGATGCACGAGAGGACGTGTGGAGTTGTGTGACTGTGTAAGGATGCAAAGGGAATGTGGGGATAGATGGGGATGCGAAGATAGATGGGAATGAGTGGGGGTGCACGAGATGTTTATCGGACCCCCCCCCCCAAGCACACACACAAAATGCCCCTCCCAAATGCAGAGGTGCAGCAGGAGGGGGCAGCTGCATCACTCACAGGCATCCCGAGTCCGTGCACTGCCCTTGGCCCGAGCACAGCTCAGGGCAGGCAGGCCCGATGTAGACTGCACACGAACACACACAAGACAAAGGTCAAGACATCCCTCTATAGCCTTGATAGACTGTTGGGGCAAGTGCTGTTAGCGAGCAAGAAAACACAAGCTCACAAATACACATGATGCAGACACACACAGGAGGTGGCAACGGTTTTGGTTGTGCTGGCGCTAGTGCTGGTGGTAGCGATGGCGTTGATGATGGTGTTGGCACGAGTTCTGGTGTTGATGGTAGTGATGGTACTTGTGGTAGTGGTGGTAGCGATGGCGTTGATGATGGTGTTGGCACAAATTCTGATGTTGATGGTAGTGATGGTGCTGCTTCTCGTGCTTGTGTTGGTGGTAGTGGTGGTAGTGATGGTATTGGTGGCAGCAGGGGCAGAGCCAGGGGGGTGACAGGGGTGACATTCTGCGTATAAGTGTGCGACACTCGGTCTGGCGGACTCCGTGCAACTGCATTGTCAGAGTGTGTTGCCAACCGATGGCGTCTAGTTCAACAGCCTGACTCTAATCATCCTTGAAATTAAAATGTGTTGAATGTCACCCCGGCCTGAAATCCTGGCTCCGCCCCTGGGTGGCAGTGATGGTATTGGTGGTAGTGATGGTATTGATGGTGTTGGTGAGATAGTTGGCGCCGGTGCTGCTGGTGGTGGTGGAGGCGGCGAGGGCACCGTTGTCGATGGCCCAGGCGGTGCCATTCCCCGGGTGCTCGAGGCTCCAGCGGAACCGCGTCCGCGGGGAGATGGCCACCAGGGGCAGCGGCACCGTCACGCGCGACCAGCTGCAGCGCAACCATGGCACAACCACTCGCGCGTGATCGCACGCAACCGCACGCGGGCAACCGCACGCACGTGCGGCATAATCACACCACCACATACAGCCACACACACTCAACCACACAACCACACAACCCCCCAACACACGCACACAACCACGTGCATGTGTGGAATAATAACATGCATCCCAGGGCGCCACAGACGCGGTGCTGCGTCGTGATGTATGCTGCTGCTTTAGTGGTGTGGTATACTTGGTAGCTGTGTGCCAGGCAGATGGTGTGGTGCGGTTACTGCGGTATGGTTGGTGCGGTGTAATGTTGTGTGGTTAGGGGTGTGGTTGGTGCGGTTGGTGCAGTACCCCGTGTAGCTGTGAGCCGGGTAGACGGTGCGATGTGGTTGGTGCGGTATGCGATGTGGTTGGTGCGGTATGCGGTGTGGTTGGTGCGGTGTAATGTTGTGTGGTTAGGGGTGTGGTTAGGGGTGTGGTTGGTGCGGTTGGTGCGGTACCCCGTGTAGCTGTGAGCCGGGTAGACGGTGCGGTGCGGTTGGTGCGGTCCCTCGCACTCTCCAGGGAGGCACTCTGAGATTAGGAGGTGCCAGGAGCGGCCCTGGTCCGTGGAAAATTCTAACTTCACGCTGGGCACAGACGGGGGGGGGGGGAGACGGCAGTCGCGCTTCCACAACCACCACAGAGCGGACTCGAGCCGTGCCGCGCTACGCTTGGGGGCCACGATCGCCACCTGGTTGAAGCAGACAGCGTTGTAGTGTTACTGCGGATATTACACCGCAGCCTTACCCAGGGTGGCCGGTAGATTTGAACCACAAACCTCTGCGACAGGCGGCGAACGTGTTAGATTCCCAGGCCCTGGCTGATGGCATTGTCCCGAGGCTCATTGACAGCGGCACGAGAGTCACTGGCGAGTCGCTGGCGAGTCGCTGGCGAGTCGCCAGTGAGTCGTGGATGAGTCGCTGGTGAGTCGTGGATGAGTCGCTGGTGAGTCGTGGATGAGTCACTGGTGAGTCGTCAGTGAGTCGTGGATGAGTCGCTGGCGAGTCGTTGGTGAGTCGTGGATGAGTCGTGGATGAGTCGTGGATGAGTCGCTGGCGAGTCGTGGATGAGTCACTGGCGAGTCGCTGGCGAGTCATCAGTGAGTCGTGGATGAGTCGCTGGCGAGTCGCTGGCGAGTCGCTGGTGAGTCGTGGATGAGTCACTGGCGAGTCGCTGGCGAGTCGCTGGTGAGTCGTGGATGAGTCACTGGCGAGTTGTGGATGAGTCGTGGATGAGTCACTGGCGAGTCGCTGGCGAGTCGCTGGTGAGTCGTGGATGAGTCACTGGCGAGTCGTGGATGAGTCGTGGATGAGTCGTGGATGAGTCACTGGCGAGTCGCTGGCGAGTCGCTGGTGAGTCGTGGATGAGTCGTGGATGAGTCACTGGCGAGTCGTGGATGAGTCGTGGATGAGTCGTGGATGAGTCACTGGCGAGTCACTGGCGAGTCGCTGGTGAGTCGTGGATGAGTCACTGGCGAGTCGCTGGCGAGTCGTCAGTGAGTCGTGGATGAGTCGTGGATGAGTCGCTGGCGAGTCGCTGGCGAGTCGCTGGTGAGTTGTGGATGAGTCGCTGGCGAGTCATCAGTGAGTCGTGGATGAGTCGTGGATGAGTCGCTGGTGAGTCGTCAGTGAGTAACGGGTGAGTTGCTGACCACATTTGGTCAGTAACTTTTCACCTCCCACCACTCCTCACCTGGAGTCCGACGTTTCGGCACCACAGCCCATGCTGAGCGAGAACTGCAGGAGGTGCGTGGGGCGCGGGGGTGCGGGGGGCAGCAGCGCCACGCGGTCCAGCGCCCACACGTCGCGACCGGGCCCCCCGTGCACCGCCTGCGCCACGCAGAACCTCACGACGGGACGGTGCCACGCGGGAGGAATCGCCACGGAGACCGGGCCGGGTACCTGGGGCACAGGGACCGGCGTTGCCGTGACAACAGCAGCAGAGTTAGATGTGCAGAAACATCCATTGATGTTCTGTACTGCTATGCTCTTACGTCCATGCTCCCCATCTACACAAACCCAAAATGGTGAAGTATGGTCAAATAATCCTCTGCATGACGTGGAGAAGCCCTCATCCGGCAGTGGAGTGACCGGTGGTTGCAGTATGTAACGATGCAGACGATTGGTAAATGCGGTGGTGGCGATTGGGGCGGTGGTGGTGACAGTGGTGGTGGTGGGGGCAACGGTGGTGGTAGTGGGGGCAGTGATGGTGGTAGTGGGGATGACAGCGGTGGTGGTAGTGGTGACGGTGGTGGTGGTAGTGGTGACGGTGGGGGTGGTGGTGATGGTGGGGGGTGACGGTCGTGGTGGTGACGGTGTTGGTGACGGTGATGGCGGCGATGGTGGTGAGCCTCGAGGGTCCTGGCGACCACGGGGAGCGACCGACCCGGTATTCGCCACGCAGCATCGTCTCCAGCAGAACCTCGTCCCCAGCCGCCCCGCGGATGGACACGGAGACGGCGTGGTGTGGCCAGGCCACGGGGTCGCACGCACCTCCACCTGGGCACACACACACACACAGAGTGTACTCACGCACACACATCGTGTTATGGCAGGTGGCACCGTGACTTAGCAGCCTCGGCCCTAGCGAGAGGTCTGCTGGACGTGGTGTGCCGGGCGCTCGAGAGACGCGGCGTGGCGCTGGCGCTCGGAGCCGGCGTCCCTACCCGTGCTGTAGTAGAAGCGCAGGCTGCCGGCAGCGGTGGTGTTCAGGGGCGGGGTGCACGCCTCCCTGGGCCCCGGGCCCTGCATTACCAGGGCCCTGCCGGACGTCGGCACCCCCCCACACGCGGAGCTCGGTGCTCCTCCGGTCACCGTCCAACTGGCGGGGTTTGAGGGGGGAGGGAGGGCGGGGGTGGGGAAGTGGGGGGGGGGGGAGGAGCACCCCCCAGCACACAACACTTAGCCAGACCTAAGTGTTGAGATGACTGGCAAGATGCACCACCTATGCTCCCCACTGTGCCAAATTGCTGCGTTGTTGTGAGCGCTGCTCCTCTGCCCTCCGCTGTTGTTGGAGGGCGACTGCCTCCAACTGCCCAGTAGCCTCCTCCATTGACACCCATCTTGACACCGCTGGTATCGGTCATTGGCAAGTCCACTCCTCCTGTATGGCATCAGCTCCATCTCCTCTCCAGCCGTGAGCACGTGAGTGAGAGAGTGAGTGAGTGAGAGAGTGAGTGAGTGAGAGTGAGTGAGAGGGTGAGTGAGTGAGTGAGCGAGCGAGCGAGCGAGAGAGTGAGTGAGTAAGTGAGAGAGTGAGTGAGTGAGTGAGCGAGCGAGCGAGAGAGTGAGTGAGTGAGTGAGAGAGTGAGTGAGTGAGAGAGTGAGTGAGTGAGAGAGTGAGCGGGCGAGAGAGTGAGAGAGTGAGTGAGCGAGTGGGCGAGCGAGTGAGAGAATGAATGAGCGAGTAGGTGAGCTCCGATCGATTCACTGACCCTAGAGGCTCCGACTCGAACTCCTCCTGCCACAGTCGCCCCTCGTCCTCCTCTCCCTCCGGCCGCCCCCTCTGCAGGTCGAGGTCGCGAGTCGCGGCGAACCCCCCCAGGCCCCCCCCCTCCCCCAGGCGCCCCCCCTCCATCGCCGGGAAGAACAGGCAGTCCCCGTCCGACTGGCAGCTGTGCTGTGGCAAGCGCGTGCACGCGCACGTGTACGCGCGCGGGCACACGTGTACGCGCACGTGCACGCGCACGTGTACGCGCGCTCGCACACAAAGCCTCAACAGACTGTTGGGGCAAGTGCTGTGAGCGAGCACCGATGAAGGTCAACGACTACGAAGCCCGGGACGGCACACGAAGGGGCGGGTGGCCAGCACCACGCCCGGCCGCCTTTGTCTCCCCAGTGCTGATGTTTACACAACGCACCACATGCTCATTTAAAGCCAAGCCAGGATTAGTTCAAATATTCGCCACTGTTATTGGTCGTGAGCGAGAATCGAACTCTGACCGCTGGATTCGTAGCGCGGTGTGCTAACCGCTGCACCACCGCTCCCCGCCCAGCCTCACACGCAAAGACAAAGGTCCCCCGTATAGCTTTAACAGACTTTTGTGGCAGGTGCCCCACGCGCATGCAAGCACACACGCGTGCACACACCTTGACGACGGCTCCGGGGAAGAAGAGCCAGTTGCCCGTGTGGAGAGGGTCCATGTCGTCCTGCAAGCCGGAGGGCCGCTGGGCGCCGCCGGCCACCAGCACGTGGTCCAGGCCCCAGCAGCCGGCCGAGGCGCGTGGCTCCTCTTGCTGCTGCTGCTGCTGCTGAGTCCAGCGCAGCGCCACGCCGGCTGCTCGCGCCGCCCAGGGCAGCGGCACCAGGTGGACTACGGCACGGGGGCTACCAGGGGCTCTGCACGATCACACACGCGCACAGACAAAGGTCCCCCGTGTAGTCTTTACAGACCGTCGAGGCAAGTGCTGCTAGCGAGCAGCACCTATGAAGGCCAGGACAGCACAAGAAGGGGCGGGTGGGGAGCATCACGCCCGGCCGCCTTTGTCTCCCTAGTGGCGATGTTTACGCACCGCACCATGGAACTTATTTGAGATCGCGTTGACCCGTACGTGATCACCACGCATGCACCCTCATACTTAGACTCGCTCGCACATCTACGCGCTCGCACATCTACGCGCTCGCGCCTTGACGCGCGCCGTGTCGTGCGTGCTGCAGCTGACCTGATCCTCTCCAGCTCGGTCCAGCGAGTCGAGGGGTCGAGGGGGTCTCCGTGCGTGAACGAGACCACGATTGGGGGGCCCTCCTCGCCGCTACTGCACTGCCCTGCACCTACACGGAACGGGTGCAGGCGTAGGTTGAGCGAGCGTCTCCACATGAGTATCCGGTGCGGTGTGGAAACATCACCGCTCGGGAGACAAAGGCGGCCGGGCGTGGTGCTGGCCACCCACCCCCCTCGTGTGCCGTGCCGACCTTCATTAGGTGGTCGCTAACAGCACTTGCCCCAAGTCTGTGAAGGCTGTACAGGGATCTTTGAGTGAATGCAAGTGTGAGAGTGTGAATGTTGGTGGGTGAGGAGTACGCGTGCGAGCGTGTTAGTGCTTGTTAGTGCGTTAGTTTGTGTGTGTGTGACGTAACATAGACTCACACTCGTGGATGCCTGCACTCAAGCCAGACGAACATCAACAACAAGAGCCGCCGTTCGCCATTAAGTGGCAGTGACGTCACCATGGCACCTGTGCCCGGCCAGGTGCACTTTGAGGCCATGTGTCGAAGGCTCGCTGACAGGAGGTCACGGGACAGACCCAGGTGCCAACACAGACCGACACAACTCTCGCACGCACGTGGACACACGCAGACCCACGGACTCCGAGCGTGGGTCTGCGTGTGTCCACGTGTGTGGCGCTCACCCAGGGAGAACTGCAGCACCGTGGCGGCCGTGGCGTTGAGTGGCACCGTCGTCTGCAAACAGCAGAGAAGCACAAAACGCCGCGACCGCAGAGTCACGCTCGCTGACTCTATCTCCCGGCGAGGCAGTGTCAACTGAAACTGAACTCTTTTTTTATTTTTACCAGGTAAGGCCCGCTGAGCTCTTTTTCGGAAGCGACCTGCCCACAAGTGGAGGCTCGAGCAAGTGGCTTGTCATCATCACGTGGAAATCTATAGCAGCCAAATACTGTGAACGCGTGAAGTTGTTTTTAAATGAGGAGGGAAAACCGGAGGACCAGGAGTAAAATCCACGCGGTCAATAGGGGCCAAGTCTCTTAAACAGCCCCCCCCCCAAATCACCCCTCCCCCCACCCTGCTGTATACATGAGTGCAGCAACCACGACGAGTCTCCATGGGCAGGTGGTGGGGCAGAGCGTGGGTACTCAAACGTTTTCCAAGACGTCTGACTGCATTGTAGCGACATTCTGCAGTATAACGTCGCTACAATGAGAGGTTATGGATGTGTGGGGGGAGGGGGGGGGCATCCCGTTGGGTCCGGGGGACCCTCCCCCGTCTGTAACGGGGTGGGGGGAGGAGGGAGCGCGTTGGCGACTACGGCAGCCGAATCGGCGCTGGCTCTCCGCGCCCTGGGTTGGTTTGAGGAAGCAGGCAGCGGAGGTCTGCGCGGTGCCGTGGTGCCGTGGTGCCGTGGTGCGATCGGAGATCTGGGTAATTCCGAGCAGATGTGGGCGGCACACACCCGGCAGCCGTTCATCACGCACGGACCTCGTTACACCTCCTCCCACCTCCTCCCTTAGTCTCCCCCGAGTCTTCCACCTCCTCCACAGTCTCCCCTTAGCCTCCCACCACTTGCTGCCAATGTCAATGCCTCCCACCATCTTACTCCCGCCCCCTCTTTCACTTTTCCAAATCTCTCACGTTCTTGCAGCAGAACCCTCCACCTACCCAGGTCTCCCACCACCTCCCTCCACCTACTCAGGCCTCCCACCACCTCCCTCCACCACCTCCCTCCACCTACCCAGGTCTCCCACCACCTCCCACCACCTACCCAGGTCTCCCACCACCTCCCTCCACCACCTCCCTCCACCACCTCCCTCCACCCACTCAGGTCTCCCACCACCTCCCTCCACCACCTCCCTCCACCTCCTCAGGTCTCCCACCACCTCCCTCCACCACCTCCCTCCACCTACTCAGGTCTCCCACCACCTCCCTTCACCACCTCCCATCACCTACCCAGGTCTCCCACCACCTCCTTCCACCACCTCCCACCACCTACCCAGGTGTCCCACCACCTCCCTCCACCTACCCAGGTCTCCCACCACCTCCCACCACCAACTCCATCCACCTACCCAGGTCTCCCACCACCTCCCTCCACCTACCCAGGTCTCCCACCACCTCCCACCAACCCTTACCCAGGTCTCCTACCACCTACCCAGGTCTCCCACCACCTCCCTCCACCGCCTCTCACCACCTACCCAGGTATCCCACCACCTACCCAGGTATCCCACCACCTCCCTCCACCACCTCCCACCACCTACCCAGGTCTACCACCACCTACCCAGATCTCCCACCACCTCCCTCCACCACCTCCCACCACCTACCCAGGTCTCCCACCACCTACCCAGGTCTCCCACCACCTACCCAGGTCTCCCACCACCTCCCTCCACCACCTCCCACCACCTACCCAGGTCTCCCACCACCGACCCAGGTCTCCCACCACCACCTCCCCAGGTGTCCCACCACCTCCTGTGTCCTCCTGCTGCCCTCAGGCTCTGCTGTGCGAGCCGCGCTTCCTCTGGAACGCTCCGTCTGCTTTGCTTTCCTAGCTCAGCTGGTTTCCCCCACCGCAGGGAATTAGGGTCAGCGTGAAGTCATAGACGAGAGCGCCTGTTCAGTTGTGTGTTCTAACTTCACAGGTCGGATGATGATGATGGCAATGATGATGGTGATGATGATGGCAATGATGATGGTGATGATGATGGTGATGATGATGGTGATGATGATGGTGATGATGGCAATCGTTTGTTGAATGATGGTGATGATTTGGTAGATTATGATGATGAATTTGTGGATGAGAATAATAATAATTGTGATGATGAGGGTTTGGTGGGTGATGTGATGGTTGTGGTATGGAGGTAGTGGTGGAGGTGGTGGTGTGGTGGTTGTGGTATGGAGGTAGTGGTGGTTGTGGTATGGAGGTAGTGGTGGAGGTGGTGGTGTGGTTGTGGTATGGAGGTAGTGGTGGATGTGGTGGTGTGGTGATTGTGGTATGGAGGTAGTGGTGGAGGTGGTGGTGTGGTGGTTGTGGTGGTTGTGGTGTGGAGGTAGTGGTGGAGGTGGTGGTGTGGTGGTTGTGGTATGGATGTAGTGGTGGAGGTGGTGGTGTGGTGGTTGTGGTGGTTGCGGTGTGGAGGTGGTGGTGTGGTGGTTGTGGTATGGAGGTAGTGGTGGAGGTGGTGGTGTGGTGGTTGTGGTATGGAGGTAGTGGTGGAGGTGGTGGTGTGGTGGTTGTGGTATGGAGGTAGTGGTGGAGGTGATGGTGTGGTGGTTGTGGTATGGAGGTAGTGGTGGAGGTGGTGGTATGGAAGTAGTGGTGGATGTGGTGGTGTGGTGATTGTGGTATGGAGGTAGTGGTGGAGGTGTGGTGGTTGTGGTGGTTGTGGTGTGGAGGTAGTGGTGGAGGTGGTGGTGTTGTGGTTGTGGTATGGATGTAGTGGTGGAGGTGGTGGTGTGGTGGTTGTGGTGGTTGCGGTGTGGAGGTGGTGGTCTGGTGGTTGTGGTATGGAGGTAGTGGTGGAGGTGGTGGTGTGGTGGTTGTGGTATGGAGGTAGTGGTGGAGGTGGTGGTGTGGTGATTGTGGTATGGAGGTAGTGGTGGAGGTGTGGTGGTTGTGGTATGGAGGTAGTGGTGGAGGTGGTGGTGTGGTGGTTGTGGTATGGAGGTAGTGGTGGAGGTGGTGGTGTGATGTGGAGCTATAAGTACCAGTTCACGGGGCCCAGAGGTCTGGCAGAAGATGGCGGCGTTGCCGTGCATTATGGGACCACAGAGGTCACTAACCTCACAGCCGTGGCAGCCGGACCTGCACCCACACAACCACAACACGAGCACAACACAATCGCATTAATAATCCAACAACAACAACAACTGCATTTATAATACACACACAACCACGTCAGGATCTCAACCACAACCGTGCCGCGTGCCGCTCAGCGTGCCGGTGCCACTCACCAGAGGTCCGGGTTGAGGCCGAAGTCCGAATCAAAGTCGTCCCTGAGCTCCACGTCCTGGGAGTGAACTTCAGCTGCCGCCACGGGGTCACAGGAAGGTCAACAACATCAACAACAACCACAACAACAACGACAGCATCAGCGATAATGACAACAACCAGATGCAGTCAAAGCCTAGGCTCTATCTGGGTGAGGGCTGGGGAGAGACTGGGGTAGTTTTATGGATCAAGTTATGGGTATTGTTAGAGTTCAGCTTTTCGTGTGGGGCACTGAGGGAACAGGGTTCGATACAGGGCTCGTGTTTGGGCAGTAAGGATCGGGGATCCTGTTCAGAGTTGGGATTAGGGCTCATCTTCGAGGTGCTGTTAGCACTGGGACTAGAGCTAGAGTTAAGGTCAGGGCTGGCTCTATGGGACTAGCCATCGGGATGCTCCAAGCGCTGGGGCTAGGATTTGTGCTGGCTCTATGGGGCGAGCGTTCAGGATGCTCTGAGCACTGGGGCCTGGCTCCAGGAGAACGCTCGCCCAGCTCGCCGTGTGGATCTGCCTGCTGCCACTCACCCAGTTTGGGCCTCAGAGGAGCCGGAGTGGGAACTGAGGACAGGGAAACAGCACAGGTCACAGGTCAGGCTGGTAGCAACCAACATCGTGTTTGTGATTACACATGTGTCTGCGTGTGTAATTACACGTGTGTGTCTGTAATTGCACGTGTGTGTGTGTGTTTGTTCACACGTGCATACGCTTGTGTGTGTGTATGCGAGTAGTGGCCATACCTCCATGCTCGCACAGCTGGTGCACCACCGTGTCCTTAAACACGATCTGCCCACGCAGGGTGGCTGTGGCACTGAGTGAGAGACGGGGGTGGGGGGGCAGCATCACCAATGCCTCTCGACCACGACCTCAGTCGGTCCTGCCACAGAACCAGGACGGGCGCCCCACCACCGACCACCCCCCTGACCCCCACCACCGACCACCCCCCCGACCCCCACCACCGACCCACCCCTGACCCCCCCTGACCCCCCTCCTGACTCCCCCAGACCCCCCCTCCCTGCATTATAATCCAAGTGCGGTGGTGCACAGCTGTGCTCCAGGGAGTGGCAGGCAAGCCTGGAGGGGTCTCGATTCCCTTTTCATGCCGTATGCAACGCGTCGCTGTGGAGGGGGCATGGCTGTGATGGAGGGGGGCGTGGCTGTGATGGAGGGGGGGCATGGCTGTGATGGAGGGGGGCATGGCTGTGATGGGGGGGGGCGTGGCTGTGATGGAGGGGGGCGTGGCTGTGATGTAGGAGGGCATGGCTGTGATGGAGGGGGGCATGGCTGTGATGGAGGGAGCATGGCTGTGATGGAGGGGGGCATGGCTGTGATGGAGGGGGGCATGGCTGTGATGGAGGGGGCATGGCTGTGATGGAGGGGGCCCCGGCCGTGCCGCTCACAGGAAGCTGATGCATCCGGTGCCGGCGGGCGGCGCCGTCCAGGTGAAGGTGAGCGCAGTCTGTGGCCGCGGCGCCGCGTGGGACGCCACTACGCTGCACACGAAGCCCGAGCCTAACGGGCGGTCCGACGAGAAGCCTGCAGCAGGGAACGGCGGCAGCAGGGAGCAGCGGTAGCAGGGAGCAGCGGCAGCAGGGAGCAGGAGCAGGGAGCAGCAGCAGGGAGCAGCAGCAGCAGGGAACATCACGATTCCGTACATGCTGTGAGTCACTTTAAGATGTTTTCTTGTTCGTGTTTTTGTTTTTTTGTTTGTTGTGGTTGCACCCGATTCAAGAGCCCAATGGCTCACAGGGCTATACCAAAATAAATCAACTGAAAACTGAAAAACTGAGCCGTCAGGCTGTCGTGGGATTGAGTGGTACCCGTGCCCCGGGTCAAACTCGAGTTGCGCAGCCACAGCTCTGGCCGGACAACGAAGACAGTGACAATGAAAACCGCGCAGCGGAGAGATGTCGCAGGAATATTCGGGGGGGAGGAGGGGACGGTGGGGCACTCACCGACAGCAGAGAGCCCCCGTGAGTGGAACGCGTGGGGACCCACAGCGGGGCCAGGCCCCGGGCTCGTGTACAGGCCGGTCATGAGGAGGCCGTCAAAGCCGGCGCTGGTGCTCAGGGTCACTGCAGGAAGCGCGCGCACAAAGACAGAGGTCCCCCGTGTAGCCTTTAACAGAATTGTTGGGGCAAGGGCTGCGAGCGAGTAGCACCTGCGAAAGGCCGGCACGACGCACCTATGAGGGGGTGGGGCGTGGTTAGCGCTTCGCCCGGCCGCCTTTGTCTTCCCAATACCCATGTTTACAAAATTGCCGAGTCGACCTAACGGAGGGGCAGAAATGGTTCGGAATTTCGGGACACCGATGTTGGCCGTGGCTGGGAATCGAACTCGGGTCCCCGGGCTCGGGTTATAAATAAGCAGACAACAACGCCTCCTTTGCAAAGCTGTCCCTCCAGGTACAAAATGCTGTACACGTTCCATCAGCCACACGGCTGTGTGAGAGCACATCGATTCAGCAGCATCGGTTCAAGCGCAAGCAACCTCCGGAGCGGTTTCGACATTCGGTGTCTCATCTTTGTCTGGTAAGGACAGTCCGTGCTGCACGCGGCCGGGTCTTTCCCCCCCCCAACCCCCGGCCTCCACTACTACACACAGATACACGAGTCGCTGGACTCGGTCCAAACACCCCCCACCCACACACCTTGTCCTGAGGTCAGTGAGAGGCTGAGTAGCTAAGAGAGAGATCCCCGTCTTGGCAGCGCTGTGCAGTGATTAACCACATTGGCAGCATTCCTCACACCTCCCCTTCCCATCACAACGCTGTTTGGTAGCGCAACCCTCCAACAACGTTCCAACGGTTTAACACGGAGTCGGCTTTCGCAACAAATATCATCTATAGTATAGGTTTTTTGGGTTAGATCGCGCAAATATACAAATGTGTCGTTAAACCGAGAGCAAACCCACAAATGTTGTGGTTTTGCTTTCCAACACACCGGTGTGCTGTACTCGTAACGCATTGGCGCGTTCTGTTTACGTGACAAGCCTTACTAATTGGCTGTGTCTGGTGGTGACGGATTTAACGACACATTTATATATTTACGCGATATAACCCAAAAAACGTTCCAAGAACACTCCAACAACGCTCCAAAAACGTTCCAAGAATTTTCCAACAACGTTCCAACATTGCTCCAACGCTCTGGGCTGCAGCTGCTAGGCAACCTGCTGCCTTGCTCCAGTCTTTCGAGTGACTCGGAAGAAAAATGCAGTGAGAACTTAATCCCTTCCTGAGCAGGGCCCTCCTGAAAAGGGGACCCGAGACTCAGTGGAGCCATCCTGGATTAACCCATTTAATATTTTGTAGCGGTGGCACAGTGGTTAGTTGTACCGCACAATAAACCCGGCAACCTCAGTGCAACTACCGGCCACGGCCAACACGAGCGGCGTGTGACGTCTGAAGCGGTCTCGGACCTCCACCCCGCTTCTCCAACCCGCACTGACCAGAGCGGCGAAGTATGGTCAAGCGACATCAACCGCCGTTCACCACTAAGCGGCAGTGACGTCACCACGGCGCTTGTGCCACGCTAGGTGCACTTTGGGGCCACGTGAAGTGTCGAAGGCTCGCTGGCAGGAGGAGGCCACGGAACAGATCCCAGGTGCCGTGGGTTGACCGACTGAGATGACCGGCAGATGCACCGCCTGTGCTGCCAATAATTCTGCACCATCCGGCGGTGGCTTGAGAAACGAAGCTGTGTATGTTTTACAGAATCGTTATGATTATTTACATAGCCGGCACGGGCACACACCTCGTCACAAAGAGGGACCCCCCTCGTTACACAGAGGCGTGGGGTCAAGGGGTCACTTGTGGTCTCGAGCTAAACGTTAACCCACCCGCAGCCCCCCCCCCCCCCCCACACAGCCCCCCCCACACAGCCCCCCACCCCCCCGCCCGTGTGTTTATTCTCCTCTGGGTCGATACGCGCCGCTCACATTCCCCGCGTGCGTTGTGTGCACCGCGGGGGGGTTCGTGGTGCTGGCCACAGCACCCGCTCCGTGTGTCGTGTCGGCCTTCACAGGTGCTGCCACTCGCTAACGACACTGGCTCCTCTCACTCTCGTGTGAGGCTATACGGGGGACCTTTGTCTTCGTGTGAACTCACAGATGCGGTGGTGTAGCGGTCAGCACGCTTGTGCTAGCAACCCGGCGACCCCAGTTCGATTCCTGTGCACGGCCACCAACACCTTTCACAATAATCTGAACCGGTCCTGGGCCTCCCCTGTCGACGGGGCCTCAAATGAGTACCTGGTGCGATGTGTAAATATCGCCACGGGGGAGACAAAGGCGGCCGCGGGTGATTTTGCCCATCCAACCCCTCGCGTGCTGTTCTGCCCTTCATAGCACTTGCCCCTTACGCCCGTGCAGGCTACACGGGGGGTCTTTGTTTTGTTCGCGTGCACGCCCCAGGTCTGGTGTAATCAGCCGCGCGCTCAGAGCACGTAATGCTCTCAACACGAACTCCCAAAGTCATTCCCCTCTCTCGCTAACGACTCACTCGGGAGGCCCGCACGCACACAAGCTTCTTTCACTTCTCTCACTCGCGATCCGTCTGCCAAAAACTCGGCACGGACCTCTCCCAACATTCCCTGAGCGCAAAACTCTAACCCAGAGGCAGCACCACACTCGCAACAGCCTCACTCACCGCACATGCTCACCTCAAATTTGTGTTTTATAACGCTCACCCACAACTCGCTACCACCACCGATGTTGACACGGACCCCCAAAGCCCCTGCTTCGCTCACTAACTCACCCACCTGCTTCACCCACCCAGCCACTGCTTCACTAACTCAGCCCCTGCTTCACTAACTCACCCACCTGCTTCACCCACCCAGCCACTGCTTCATTAACTCAGCCCCTGCTTCACTAACCCAGCCCCTGCTTCACTCACTAACTCAGCCCCTGCTTCACTCACTAACTCAGCCCTTGTTTCACTCACTAACTCAGCCCCTGTTTCACTCACTAACTCAGCCCCTGCTTCACTCACCCAGCCCCTGCTTCACTCACTAACCCAGCCCCTGCTTCACTAACTCAGCCCCTGCTTCACTCACTAACTCAGCCCCTGCTTCGCTCACTAACTCACCCACCTGCTTCACCCACCCAGCCACTGCTTCACTAGCTCAGCCCCTGCTTCACTAACCCAGCCCCTGCTTCACTCACTAACTCAGCCCCTGCTTCACTCACTAACTCAGCCCCTGCTTCACTCACTCACCCAGCTCCTGCTTCACTCACTAACTCAGCCCCTGTTTCACTCACTAACTCAGCCCCTGCTTCACTCACCCAGCCCCTGCTTCACTCACTAACCCAGCCCCTGCTTCACTAACTCAGCCCCTGCTTCACTCACTAACTCAGCCCCTGCTTCACTCACTCACCCAGCCCCTGCTTCACTCACCCAGCCCCTGCTTCACTAACTCAGCCCCTGCTTCACTCACTAACTCAGCCCCTGTTTCACTCACTAACTCAGCCCCTGCTTCACTAACTCAGCCCCTGCTTCACTCACTAACTCAGCCCCTGTTTCACTCACTTACCCAGCCCCTGCTTCACTCACTAACTCAGCCCCTGCTTCACTCACTAACCCAGCCCCTGCTTCACTCACTAGCTCAGCCCCTGCTTCACTCACTAGCTCAGCCCCTGCTTCACTCACCCAGCCCCTGCTTCACTAACTCAGCCCCTGCTTCACTCACTAACTCAGCCCTTGCTTCACTCACTCACTCAGCCCCTGCTTCACTCACTCACTCAGCCCCTGCTTCACTCACTAACTCAGCCCCTGCTTCACTCACTCACTCAGCCCCTGCTTCACTCACTAGCTCAGCCCCTGCTTCACTCACTCACCCAGCCCCTGCTTCACTCACTCAGCCCCTGCTTCACTCACTAACTCAGCCCCTGCTTCACTCACTAACTCAGCCCCTGCTTCACTCACTAACTCAGCCCCTGCCTCACTCACTTACCCAGCTGCTGCTTCACTCACTCGCGCGGTCCCTGCTTCACTCACCTTGGTACTGCTGCCCCGGCTCGTACTGTGTTGGATTCCCCGCCACGTGCAGCGACATCAGCAGTTCCCCGGCGTCTCGGGCGCCCTCGGGTTCCCCGCCGTGCGAGCACATGAAGAAGTAGGGCGCCAACACAGGAGCCGGGGATTCGCTCTGCCTGGCGATCATCAGCAGGGCCACAGCCCCCAGCAGCCGGGCCCACGGGCCCCCCATGTGTCGGGGCACTCCCCGTCAGTCAGCCAGGCAAAGCCACGCACCCGCCTGCCTCCACCTCCACGGTAGCAGTGGATGGAGACTCGTCTCCCTCACTCGGTGGTCGTTCGTGAAGATGCCGAGGATAAGTTGGGGGTGTTGGGGGTGAGTGTCGGAGGCGGAGAGACTCGGGTGGTTGAGGAAGGTGGAGGTTCTCCGTGGAGAGTGTGGGGAGGGGGCGAGGATGACCAGTGTGAGCTTCACGCTACCGCTGCCCCTAAAATCTCAGCCAATAACAGAAACCTGCAGTTCTCTCTCTCGCTCCACACACACAAATACAGCAACAGGCAAACAGACACAAATATCCCCCGTGTAGCCTGAATATACTGTAGGGGCAAGTGTCGTTAGCAAACACTCATGAAGGCCGGTACACGAGGTACTCATTTGAGGCTGAGACGACCTAGGAGAGGCCCAGGATCGATTCAGATAATCGTCACTGGAGCTCACTATGAGGGGGAATCGAACTCGGGTTGTCGGGTTCGTAGCGCAGCGCTGAACCGGTTCGTAGCGCAGCGCTGAACCGTTGCGCCACCGCTCTCCAGACAGACAAAGATCCCCCGTGTAGCTTTAACAGACTGTTAAGGCAAGTGCTGGTAGCGAGCACCTATTAAATCCGGCACGGCACACGAGTGGGTGTGTGGCCAGCACCACGCCCGACCGCCTTTGTCTCCCCAGTGGCGATGTTTTTAAACACCGCACCAGTCACTCATTTGAGGCTGAGTCGACCTAGGGCAGGCCCAGTAGCGAGTTCACATAATCGTAACGGGTGTTGGCCGTGAGCGGGAATAGAACTAGTGTCTCCGGGTTCGTAGCGCAGCACGCGAACCGATAGACTACTGCTCCCTACGCACACAGACACGCACACACAGACAGACATGCACAGACAGACACGCACACAGATAGACATGCACACAGACAGACACGCACGTGTCGCCCTCACACGTGGAGTGGGCGGTGTGGGTTGGGATCCCTCTGGTCAACTGGATCATTGCCTGCCCCGCACTGCGCGCCCTGCCAGCCGCTGCACCGCGCGTGGGGCTCACGGGGCCAGGAGCGTTCACTCTCTCTGCTCCTCGCCCAGTCGCCCTGCCAGCCAGCACCCTGCACTCACCCTGTGCCCATCCTACAATGCTATACTCATCCACCCTTTCATCCATCCATCAATGCTATACTTATCCACTCACTCGCCCACTCACCTTTCCTGCCACAGGTAGGCACTCATTGCCACTATATGTATATATTGGGTGGGGACCTGGTTCCACAATAGAAACCTGGTGACTCCAACAACAACCAAAACTTTCACAAAACTATTTAAAAACTATTCTACTACAAGGTCAGGTTTCGAGTGGCAATGTCGTATACGAAATATAACGAAGCTAAGAAGGACGCGTCACGTGCAACATACCCAACCACTATTTCACTCACCCACCCAGCTCTCACTCACCCACCCAGCTCTCACTCACCACCCAGCTCTCACTCACCCACCCAGCTCTCACTCACCCACCCAGCTCTCACTCACCACCCAGCTCTCACTCACCACCCAGCTCTCACTCACCCACCCAGCTCTCACTCACCCACCAGCTCTCACTCACCCACCAGCTCTCACTCACCCACCCAGCGCTCACTCACCCACCCAGCTCTCACTCACCCACCCAGCTCTCACTCACCCACCCAGCTCTCACTCACCACCCAGCTCTCACTCACCTACCCAGCTCTCACTCACCCACCCAACTCGCACTCACCCACCCAGCTCTCACTCACCCACCCAGCTCTCACTCACCCACCCCGCTCTCACTCACCCACCCAGCTCTCACTCACCCACCCAGCTCTCACTCACCCACCCAGCTCTCACTCACCTACCCAGCTCTCACTCACCCAGCTCTCACTCACCCACCCAGCTCTCACTCACCACCCAGCTCTCATTCACCCACCCAGCTTTCACTTACCCAGCTCTCACTCACCCAGCTCTCACTCACCCAGCTCTCATTCATCCACCCAGCTCTCACTCATCCACCCAGCTCTCACTCACCCGCCCAGCTCTCACTCACCCAGCTCTCACTCACCCACTCAGCTCTCACTCACCACCCAGCTCTCACTCACCCAGCTCTCACTAACCCAGCTCTCACTAACCCAGCTCTCACTCACCACCCAGCTCTCACTCACCACCCAGCTCTCACTCACCCACCCAGCTCTCACTCACCCACCCAGCTCTCACTCACCCACTCAGCTCTCACTCACTCACCCAGCACTCACCACCCAGCGCTCACTCACCCACCCAGCTCTCACTCACCCCGCTCTCACTCACCCAGCTCTCACTCACCCAGCTCTCACTCACCCACCCAGCTCTCACTAACCCACCCAGCTCTCACTCACCCAGCTGTCACTCACCCACTCAGCCCTCACTCACCCACCCAGCTCTCACTCACCTACCCAGCTCTCACTCACCCAGCTCTCACTCACCCAGCTCTCACTCACCCAGCTCTCACTCACCCACCCAGCTCTCACTCACCCACCCAGCTCTCACTCACCCACCCAGCTCTCACTCACCCACCCAGCTCTCACTCACTACACAGCTCTCACTTACTACACAGCTCTCACTCACCCACCCAGCTCTCACTCACCCAGCTCTCACTCACCTACCCAGCTCTCACTCACCTACCCAGCTCTCACTCACCTACCCAGCTCTCACTCACCCAGCTCTCAATCACCCACCTCTCACTCACCCACCAGCTCTCACTCACCCACCCAGCTCTCACTCACCCACCCAGCTCTCACTCACCCACCCAGCTCTCACTCACCCACCCAGCTCTCACTCACCCACCCAGCTCTCACTCACCCACCCAGCTCTCACTCACCCACCCAGCTCTCACTCACCCACCCAGCTCTCACTCACCCACCCAGCTCTCACTCACCCACCCAGCTCTCACTCACCCACCCAGCTCTCACTCACCCACCCAGCTCTCACTCACCCACCCAGCTCTCACTCACCCACCCAGCTCTCACTCACCCACCCAGCTCTCACTCACCCACCCAGCTCTCACTCACCCACCCAGCTCTCACTCACCCACCCAGCTCTCACACACCCACCAGCTCTCACTCACCCAGCTCTCACTCACCTACCCAGCTCTCACCCACCCAGCTCTCACTCACCCAGCTCTCAATCACCCAGCTCTCACTCACCCACCCAGCTCTCACTCACCCACCCAGCTCTCACTCACCCACCCAGCTCTCACTCACCCACCCAGCTCTCACTCACCCACCCAGCTCTCACTCACCCACCCAGCTCTCACTCACCCACCCAGCTCTCACTCACCCAGCTCTCACTCACCCAGCTCTCACTCACCACCCAGCGCTCACTCACCCACCCAGCGCTCACTCACCCAGCTCTCACTCACCCAGCTCTCACTCACCTAACCAGCTCTCACTCACCAACACAGCACTCACCCACCCAGCTCTCACTCACCCATCTCTCAATCACCCAGCTCTCACTCACCCACCCAGCTCTCACTCACCCACCCAGCTCTCACTCACCCACCCAGCTCTCACTCACCCACCCAGCTCTCACTCACCCACCCAGCTCTCACTCACTCACCCCGCTCTCACTCACCCACCCAGCTCTCACTCACCCACCCAGCTCTCACTCACCCATCCAGCTCTCACTCACCCACCCCGCTCTCACTCACTCACCCAGCTCTCACTCACCCAGCTCTCACTCACCACACAGCTCTCACTCACCACACAGCTCTCACTCACTCACCCAGCTCTCACTCACCTACCCAGCTCTCACTCACCCAGCTCTCACTCACCCACCCAGCTCTCACTCACCCACCCAGCTCTCACTCACCCACCCAGCTCTCACTCACCCACCCAACACTCACTCACCCACCCAGCACTCACTCACCCACCCAGCTCTCACCCACCCAGCTCTCACTCACCCAGCTCTCACTCACCCAGCTCTCACTCACCACACAGCGCTCACTCACCCACACAGCTCTCACTCACCCACACAGCTCTCACTCACCCACACAGCTCTCACTCACCCACACAGCTCTCACTCACCCACCCAGCTCTCACTCACCACACAGCTCTCACTCACCCACACAGCTCTCACTCACCACACAGCTCTCACTCACCCACACAGCTCTCACTCACCCACCCAGCTCTCACTCACCATGCTCTCACTCACCATGCTCTCACCCACCCAAACCTGCACCTTCCTAGATTTAATTCTAGATTTAAAGCTTTCGTGACTGCAAGGATCCTTACTCTTTGGTTCTATTCGGTAAAGTCACGTGACTTTACCGAATAGAACCAAAGAGCATGAAACCTGCACCTACTCAGCCACCAGGCACGAACTCTTCCGTCCAGCTACCCCAACCACTCACCCCGCCACTCGCTCACTCGCCCAGCATCCGCTCACCCACTCGGCACTCACTCATCCCACCATCCCCCATTCTTGTTCTTGTTTGACTGTGGAACATTGCCCATCCCCACGTGTTTGCATTGTCCACGAGTAATTATTAACGGTCCCATCCAATAGAACGGCAACGTTACATCTGTACTGTCCATGTGGACACACACAAACGCGCACGCTTTTTTTTTATTAATTAATGTAACAAAATGATCCAGGAAAGCAAGCAACACAAAGTCGATTTCAGGAGGGCCCTGCTACTGCATTCGGGTGTTTTTTAAATCAAGATTAATTAATGAAATTATTGACGAACAGGTTTATTATTATACCACGTGGGTTGAAAGCGGAAAACTCGGAGAAAACCCACGGCTTGCGCGAGGGGACAACACTCCATCCCCGTACAGACGGATACAGATGGAGATTAGTCCACATGCTGTATCGCCTTCTCCTGGCCAGGCAAGGGAGTTTCACAGCCCATCTGTGTGTGATGCACCAACCCTCGCTGCTGCCTCCACAGCGCTGGGTTACTGAACCGTGCCTCAATAGACGTCATCACTGTCATCGACAATCATTGCAGCGTGCACCCATCACTACAGGGATGCACTGAGTGCAGTGACGCAACAATTAATTGATTACTTAATTGATGAATCGATTCGATGTATTAATCGTTTAATATCGAGAGGGGAGGGACGGGGTGGAGGGGTTCGCATGGGGACGGGGGGAGGGGGAGGGGACGGGGGGGAGGGGGAAGGGACGGGGGGAGGGGGGAGTGGGGAGGGACGGCGGGAGGGAGGAGGGGCCCACACAATATCAAGCTTATTGAACAGGGCCCTATATCATTAATAATAAATCAATGTATTTTCTCTGCGAGGCTCGATAAACGACAAATGTTTGGCGTCACGAGGGATCCCAAAGTGTCCCGCTCCTGCCCGCGCCTCGCCCCGTGCAGCCGCTCACGCCTTAGAACTTCTGCCACAGCTGCAAGG